AATTATTAGATTTGCCAATTCCCTCCTCCTCCATGCTGGTTGGTAGTGATCCATCTCACCTCAGAAGTCAGCACACATTAAAACTATGCTGTTTCTGTGGACTTAGATGTGTGGGGTAGTTCTAATGCGAAAGAGACAGAAAACAAAATGAAGAACATCCAGGCGAAACGCCTTATGATCTTGGATAAGTAATGAAAAATTATGTACTTCCACTCAGCAGCACTCAGACTCATATATGGTCACTTCTGCTGCAAGGAAACAAATTTCTGAGTTCCCTAAAATCACTACTTCATACAAAAACGTTCAGTAAAGGCCATAAGGCTGAAGCCAGAGCAATAGCACAGCGGGTAGGGCATTTGCCTTGCACACGGCTGACCCAGGTTCGATTCCCAGCATCCCATATGGTCCCCCAGCACCGCCAGGAGTAATTTCTGAGTGTAGAGCCAGGAGTAACCCTGGAGCGTCTCTGGGTGTGACCCAAAAAGGAAAAAAAAACGCCATAAAGCAATCAAAACCCCTGGGGCTGATGGAGGAAAAGTGTTCAGCTGTGACCTAGAGGTCATTCTGGGGAAATAACAGCTCAGGACTTGAGCACGTGCTTGACCTGCTGCAACCCCAACTTCTAGCCCTGGCCCTGCACGGTCCCCTGAGCACCACTGAGTCCGGCCTCCAAAACAAAAACTTCAGGGGTAACCCCAAGAGAGAGAAGGAGGAAATGACAAGACAGTTCCTTTCAAGACAGAAAGTTGTGGGGCCCACCCTCGTCCCCAAGGTCACTAGAGCCAGCACCGCATGAGCTGGGAGTTTGATCCCAGCGCTGCGTCCACATGTCCAGCGTGGGCACTGGCCACAGGAGCAGGGTCTGGGAACTGTTTTACGGGTGTTAAATGGCTGAGATGCAGAAAAATATCACGATAAGTTTCACACTTAAGAAAGTCGGGATGTGTGCTCGTGGGAGTGGGCTTCGGGAGGTCACACTCGTCTTACTGGGAAGGGTCGGTGGGGCTGGCACCGCGGCTCCGTGAGAGTGTTGGCTGGTGTGAGACCCTGAGTCCATTGCCCTGCACCGGGGGGCACGGGCAGGCTCGGTGAAATCAGATGGAAGTGTTTGGAGCCCACCTGGAAGGTGGACGGTGGGCGGGCGGGCACAGTCTGTACTCCTGCGTTTTCTAGTGGTTCCTTTGTGTGTGAGTCGACATAAAATTTCAGTTGAGCCCTGGTATCCAGTGCTCTGTAACAAGGATTAGCACACCTGCCACTGTGAGCGGAGCTTAGCAAAGCGTCGGGCTCTGGCCATGGAATGTGTGTTAGCTTGGAGCAGCGCTGTGGGTTTGACTGGCAGCCACATTTGGTGCCATGGGGCGTCTTCAGCGAGGCAAGAGAATTGACTTTGCTTCCCTGGACTGTTTCGGTGCTCAGGTCTGTGGGAGGCCTAGCTGGGGGCATGCAGTGACTCATACATACCCTTTGAACTATCTCCCTGGCCCTAGCCACAGTTTGTGGAAGAGAAAACCATGGTGCTGAAAGGTAAAACTTGCCCGAGTTAAATGGATACGGTAACTTGATCCCTAGGCCATTCTCACCCCTAAATAAATTAAGAGAAAATAAAGTTTGGCAAACATGAGAAAAAGCAAATGTCCTTACTTGGTGGAAGTTTTTCTGATTAATAAAAGGACATTTGGGCATATTGTATTCTGTCCCCCAAACCTGCTAGGAGTGATCCCTGGGCACAGAGCCAGGAGTAAGCCCTCAGCATAGCTGGGTATGACCCAAACCCCCACCCCCCTCCCAAAAAAAAAGGGAAATAGGAAATAATCAGGGCCAGAGAGAGAGAGTACAGTGTCTGGAGCACACGCCTCGATCCCTTGTACACATGGTCCCCCAAGCACAGCAGATGTTAGCCTGAAGGGCCTGGAGCACTTCTGGGGTATCTGGGGGTGGTCCCAGCCACTACAGAGCACCTCAGTGTCCTCTGACATGAGCATTGAATTACCTGGTCTAGTTGGCCAGCAGGATGTGGACCCCAGACCCTCAAAGTAAATTTTTACATATATTTAAGCAGAACAAAGCACTTTGGAGTAGTGTGTGCAGCCCATAAGAGCAGTGAGGATAAATGGCCTTTGAGAGCCGGCTCAAACACAGCCAGGTAACACAGAACCCGCGAGGGACCTTGGGCTGTCCGTGCGCTGGGGAGGCAGTATTACCCCATCTGGGGCTTTGGGTTCTTTATTCCTGCACAGAACTAAGCTGAATGGATTTGGGGTTACCTTACTCGTAGATACCATTAGGCCAGGCTGGGCAGAGTGATAGGCATGGGTGACCTTGGCAGGGGGTTAGGGGCTGGGTGTCTGTGTCTGAGGCCCAAGATAGGCCACAGCGCACAAGTGACACCCAGAGCCTCTGAGCTTGGTTCCTGAGACCAAAACCCCGAGGTAGTCTCTGGGGACCCAGCCTGCTTTTCAGACAACTTAACACTTGGTTGGAACTGGGGACAGAAAGGGGCTTAATGGAGGAAGTGACAGCTCACTGGGTTTGCAGGCCTACAGGGCCCTCCCCCCCACACATACATACACCCCCCCCACCCCGAACCAAGGGGACTCGTGTGTGTCCCTCAGCTCCGGGACTGCAGCTCTTCGTGCCGGAACCAGCTTCATTTTCAAAGCCCCATAAAACGCGGCCATAAAACCCGGCCTCCCGTTTCTCGGTGCGGGACCGGAGCCCATGTAATGACAGCACAGCAGCTGAAGCGAGGACAGTGGGGACAGCAGGGGAGTTCCGGAGCAAAACTGTGTCTGAGCCGGGCACCCCCTTCCCCATCACTGCAGACCAGATGGGCCAGGGAGGCCCCGCGTTCCCTGCCGGAGTTGTCTGCAGGCGCCTGTGTTTTACCGCGCCCCGAAACCCTCCACCCGGGCCCATCTGCCTTGCCCAGAGCTTGTCGTGAGAGGCTGAGCGGGAGCTTCAGGTTCCGTGGAAGCAGTTGTATCCCCTCTGCCTGGGTCCCCTGTTCCCCTCTGTGAACGAAGCTTTGCCGCCCACAGAGAGCGTCACCCTCAAGCCATCGTCTGCCTACCAAAGGCTTAGGAGCGAGCTGGGAGCTATGAGCTGGGTGGCACCTGGTACCCGTTCATTCCATGCTCTAGTGGCATAGCCAGCGTCAGGCGTGAATGCTGGAAGCCCTAAAAACTCACAGCGGACAAGCCAAGTAATTTTCCTCCAGGCTGCATTTGTGGCCGGAAGTCATTGCCTGCTCCACACAGCTGGCTAGGTAGGCCCGACACGGGACCTTGGGGTTCACACAGCTGGCTAAAGGGGGCCTTGGGGCCACCTATTGCCCAAGGCTGTGCCCATCCACCAGGCCCCAGGCCTCCTTGCCTACTGGCCTCATTAGCTTGCCAAGGATGAAATAGTCAGGAGGGAGTGATTTCTTTTGGCTCACAAAGCAAGGTTGTTCGTTCTCCGGCGGAGATTTCTGGATGGCTCAACAATTAGGTTTCTCCTAATTCTTCATTTTCCTCAAGCTCTTTTTAAGCTTGTGTTGTGCTTGGCAGGTGCAGGCAGTGACTGCTTTGTTTAAGCTGTGTGAGGAGCTTGAGGGCAGCTCTCCTCTTGTGCAAAGAGTTGCAATTGGCGGGTACAGTTTACGCTGTCAGTGGCAGTCGGCCCTGTCCCCTCCAACACGGCAGGCTGGGTGGGACAGAGCAGAGCTGAGGCGTTGGCCAATAGGACGGGGCCTGGAGCTGTTTCAGTGGGGGTGACACTGTCTTCCTGGCAGGCTCCATGACTGACAGTGCAAGTGAAGGGCTTAGCCGCGGGTATCCTAGATGAGCCCACCTTAGGCCACATTGTATTACACCCCAGTAGCTTTCACCAGGCCCAACATAAAACTTCATAGTGCAACACTGCCCCCCAACACACACACACACACACACACACACACACACACACACACACAGCTCTAGGAGGAACTAGCTGGTCTGGAGGGTTGAAAATGGGTGATTCTTTTTTTTCCCATCCCAACAGCCTCTGGCCTTGAGGGTCTGAACCTGAGGCTATCGCCATTCTGGAGTAAGCCCTCGCTCTTCGGGCTTACTTACATGGCCGAGTAGCACAGAGATGTCCAGCGGGCCGAGTGTGTGCCCAGCACCATATGCACCCCCTCCCCCAAGAACTGCTGGGAATGGGCCGTGAGCACAGAGCCAGGGGTAGCCCGTGATCATGGCCAGGTGCACTCTCCCTCCCCCCCCCCTAAAAAAAAGCAGCACATCGTGGGGAGGACGGGGAAGGAACACGGAGCGTGGGGGTTGTATGTCTGGTGCAGCCATGAGGAGGAAGAAGCCTGCTCTAATCCGGGTATGGAGCAATGAGGGATGAGTCCCACAAGCAAGTCTGAGGCCCAGGAGCTCGGGAATGCTGTCAGAGTTCATAGAAGTTTTACCCAGAGGGAGAAGAACTGGAAGGCCAGGGTGTCCCCTTTAAAGCCTGGACTCGGGCCAGAGATAGTCAGACAAGCAGGACATTTGCCTTGCACACAGCAGACCCCAGGCTCTATTCCCTGCACCCCATACGGTCCCCTGCGGAGGGGGAGGATGGTGGCATGGCTTGTGCGCTGCCGTCCAGAGAAGTGGCCTCACGGTGCCAGGCAGCTGCAGGATGGGGCCTGCCTGCTTTCAGCCCTGCTGTCCCCACTGAGCAGTGGGACCCTTCCTCATACACACCCAGGCCCCGGCTCCATTGCATTGGCTAATGCTTGGCCCCTTGGCCAGGGAGGGAGCATCTCTTGACTTGTTTCTGCTAGTGTCCCAGGAGAGCCCCAGGTTGTCATGCCGCTAAAACAAACGTAAAAGCTCAGATCCTGTTTGTTTGGTTTTTTTCGGGGCCACCTGGTGGTGCCCAGGGCTCACTCCTGGCCGGTCTCAGAGATTGGGGATCGGTGATCGGCTCCATAAAGCTGCGCTGGTTCGAACAGCTGTAACGTGATTCCTTTTTTTTTTTTCCAGAGATGCTGCAGTTCGTCAGCAATCAAGTGGGAGAGTTCTCGGACTTGTTTTCAGATCCGCTGTGCAGCTCCTTCCCGGGCGCCGGGACTGCTGGGAGCGGCGGTGGCGGTGGTGGTGGTGGCGGCGGCAGCGGCAACAGCAGTGGGAGCCGGAGCGGAGCCACAGCCGAGCAGTCCATGCCCCGCCCCTTTAACCAGGTCCCCTTAACCTCCTTCTCCCCCTCCACAGCGCCCCCCCAGGCTCCAGCCCTGCAGGTCAAAGTGTCCCCTCCCACCGTCCCCACCCCGCCCAGGGCCACTCCCGTGCTCCAGCCGCGCCCCCAGCCCCAGCCCCAGCCCCCCACCCAGCTGCAGCAGCAGACCGTGATGATCACCCCAACCTTCAGCACCGCACCCCAGACGAGGATCATCCAGCAGCCTCTGATATACCAGAACGCGGCGACCAGCTTCCAAGGTGACTCAGCCTGAGACCAGCCTGACGGGCCATCTCCAGGGTGCTCATGGCTGGGCATGACAGTGTGTCTGCTCCTGGGCCTGTCTCAGTGTGTCCTTGGTCACTATCTGCACAGTAGCGTGGGGCCAGCTCGGATTCCTCCGTGTCTGTTGTGCCGCCCTGGGACACACACCCGGGTGCCTGCGTGAGGCCCAGACTTGCCACCCTTTGGGCCAGCACACGGAGCAGATCCAGCCTCGCAGCCTCGGGGCTGCAGAGCGAGAAACGGAGGCTTGACACTGCAGCTCAGAAGCCAACGTTTGATTTTTCTTGATTTGGTTTGGTGTTGCCGGGTGGCTACTCCCAGTGTACGTCAGTGCTCGGGGGCCCCACATGCCAGGCACGTGCTTTCCTCTGAACCATCTTCCTGGCCCAGTTCAGAACTTTTTTTTTGGGGGGGAGGTCACACCCAGCAATGCTCAGGGGTTTCTCCTGGCTCTGTACCCAGAAACCACTCCTAGCAGTGCTCGGGGGACCATATGGGATACTGGAAATCAAACGCGGGTTGGCCGCGTGCAAGACAAACGCCCTCCTGGCTGTGCTATCGCTCCAACCCCAGTTCAGAGCATTTTTTAATAGACTTCCGAGATTTGGGGGCTGCAGGGTGGAGGCGACCCAGGGCTAAACTTGAGCCTGGAAGCCTGGGGAGCGCTGGGCGGCAGCATCTGCTGACTCCCGAGCTGGGCGTGCTCACCCGCTCTCGGCACCCGGGTACTCACTGCCTCGCAGATTGCCGCCCGGGAATCTCGGCCAGCCCCGTAGAAGCAGGGCCCACCGGGGCGCCTTCAGAGGCACCTCCTTTGCAGCTGTCGGACAGCTGTGGGGACGGAGTGCGTTCCTCCGTCTGACTCTTCCCCTCTCCTCCCCAGTCCTTCAGCCGCAGGTTCAGAGCCTGGTGACCCCCTCGCAGGTGCAGCCCGTCACCATCCAGCAGACGGTGCAGGCGCAGCGGGTGCTGACGCAGACGGCCAGTGGCACGCTGCAGACCCTCGCCCCAGCGGCCGTGCAGGCGGTGGCCGCGCCCCAAGTGCAGCAGGTACCGGTAGGTAGCTGGCCAGGTGGGCAGGGGGAGCCGCGGCCCAGCTCCCACGCACAGAGACCCTGGCACTCACCTCGTCGCAGTCCATGTGGCCGCGCTGTTCCTGGGCACCCGGGGCTGGAGAACCCAGAGGAAGGGGCCGGCCTGTCTCCGAGCTGTGTCCCGTCGCACTACGCTGGCCTCATTTATCTCAAAAAGAAAAGCCACGTTTGCCTTTTTTGCTTGTCAGCCCGGTTGAGTTTATCTCCTCCACACTTGTTTCCTCTCTCATGCCTTCGGTGGCCCTGCCAGGCCACTGGCACTGCTCCCCGAAGCCCAGGACCCTCTGTGGCTAGGCCCTTCCTCCCCGCCCCTTGGGTCAGTTTCACAAAGGGTCAACGTTCCAAGTGGCTTCTGGGACAGTTCCTGTCCCTCGTGGATGCCTGCTTTCATGAAACCTTAATCTTTTCATTCCGTGGCCATGGGTCTGCGTATGCGGTAAGAAGTGAACGGGAGCTTAGAAAACGAGCTGCCTGCCTTTCGCTCCTCCTCCCTCACCCTCCAGGTCCTGGTACAGCCTCAGATCATCAAGACAGACTCCCTGGTTTTGACCACACTGAAGACAGATGGCAGCCCGGTCATGGCCGCCGTCCAGAACCCGGCCCTCACCGCCCTGGCCGCCCCCATCCAGACGACCGCCCTGCAAGTCCCGGTAAGAGCCGCGCGTCCCGCCGCCCTGCTTTTTGCCTCTTCCCTCCTCCTTCCTGACATTTTGGAAGGTGTTAGAGTTCAGCCTCGAAATCCTCGGTACCCTGGGTAGCGACAGAAACCCAATGGAGTGTTTCACCAACATGCAGATAACCGCCTCTTGCCGTTCTTCCTCCTTGAAGTACCACCAGTTCTGGTTCTGTGGGAGCACTGGACTCTGAGAGGGGCGCAGAGGGATAGCAGAGGGCCTCAGGGCCTGGGCAGCAGCTCCACACAGGGCCATTTGCCTCGGCCACCCGGTAGGGAGGGACCGTGAGAGGGTCCGGGGAGCCTTTCCTTCATGATTGTTGACTGGCTCAGCTCGTTGGGCAAGAGTGTTTTGCAGAGTGAAAGGGATTAATGTCCCAAAGCAAGCTGCGTTCATCGGGCCAACGCAGAAACAGCGCCGATGTTCATCCACGGAATAAACGGGTTATGATATGGGCATCCAGTCACCTCTAGCCCCACAAGAAGGAAACAGTTATTGATGTGTGCGTTTGTGGCCATGTGACCAAACCCATATGGAGCATCATGGGGTGTGAGGGACAGTCCCACTGGGCAAGGCCCGAGGGAGCTTTCTATGGGACAAAGTCCATGGCTGGTTGGGTTCTCTCGCTTACCCACATTTTAGACACATTAAGATGCAGAGCTGCTTGCTTTGTGTAAGAGAGTGTGTGTGTGTGTGTGTGTGTGTGTGTGTGTGTGTGTGTGTGTGTGTGTCCCCCCGTCCGTCATGCGTGAGGTGCTTCCTGATGACCAGTAAAGTGGAGCAGCTTTCCTTCGGTTGGCCTTTTCAATCTTTAGTCCATTAACTGAAGAAAATTAAAGTAATGAGATTAGAAACAAAGGAAAGCTGAGAACAGTAGGGAAGCCCCCTGGGTGTTTGTTTATTCTGTGAGGGGGCTGCCGATTGTTGATTATCAGTAGAGAGGGGGAAGTGCCCTGGCCTGGGAAGAAGTTGTTCCAGGCCCAAGTGCAGTGTACAGGGTCCGTGAGCTCAGCCGGGGCCCACAGTGTGATGGCAAAGCGGAAATCCAGTGCTTGTTTCCGGCATCCCAGGAGCAGAGGCTGACACCAGACGCCTTGGGTGTGGTTTCTGGAAGGCGACGCCGGAGGGCTCAGCCCTGCGGCTGTCTGTGCCAGGCCGCTATCCCCACCAGGCTAACCGCGGGGCCTTTCTGCTTGTGTCTGTCTGTGCCCGTCCAGACCCTGGTTGGCAGCAACGGGACCATTCTTACCACAATGCCGGTGATGATGGGGCAAGAGAAGGTGCCCATTAAGCAGGTCCCCGGCGGAGTCAAGCAGCTAGAGCCCCCCAAAGAGGGGGAAAGGCGGACAACACATAACATCATCGAGAAGCGGTATCGCTCCTCCATCAATGACAAAATCATCGAGTTAAAGGACCTGGTCATGGGGACAGACGCCAAAGTAAGTTCCAGGAATGATGGTATCTGAGCCTGGCCCTGTGGGCGGGCAGCTGCATGCATCTCCCCAATAGGACAGGGGCGAGGGCACTTTCATTGCACATGGCTGACCCAGGATTGATCCCTAGCACTCCATGTGGTCCCCCCATGCACCCCTCCCAAGAGTAATCCCTGAGCACAGAGCCAGGTGTAAAGAAACCCTGGGCATAGCTGGGTGGGGTGACCCAAAAACTTCAAAAAAAGCAAAAAACACCATATGTAGTGACAACCGCAGAGAATTTTTTTCTGAGATACACTGAGATTTGAGGACAGCCCAGAACTCTCACCACATGGATCTGCCTGGATGGGGACGCAGGCCCACCTCACCGCACTCAGGCTAGCTACCAGCTTCTTAGGGGAGTTTGGGGGAACCGTGGGATCACATGGCCCAGGGATCAAACCCAGGCCTCCTGCAAGCAAATGATATGCTGCAGCCCTTGTAGTGTTCTCTAATCCTCAAGCTAAGCTTTTTTGGTTTTTTGTTTTATTTTTTGCTTTTTGGTTCACACCCAGTGAAGCTCAGGGGTTACTCTGTGCTCAGGAATCATTCCTAGTAGTGCTTGGGGGACCGTATGGGATGCTGGGGATTGAGCCCGGGTCGGCCACGTGCAAGGCAAACGCCCTTCCCACTGTACTATTGCTCTGGCCCTGCTCTTTTGTTTGTTTGGAGAGGGGGGACCCCGTCATGCTCGGGGGACCGTATACAGTGCCGGAGAGACCCTGGATGCATGCTCTCAGCCCTCTAAATTCCCTCAGACCCTGGGCTGAGCTTTCCACACGTGTGATTGCTGCCCTGCAGGCCCGTGACTCCTGCCACCCATTGTCCCTGTCTGGAGGAAGAGGGAAGCAGGGCTCCTCTTGAGTGGCACAGTTCATCAGTGGGGGTTCAGCATCCAGATCCCAGAGCCATGCTCGCCCCCCCTCCCACCCTCGCCCTGGCCCCGCTGATTCAGCCCCTGCCCTCCCTTCCAGATGCACAAGTCAGGTGTCCTGCGCAAGGCCATCGACTACATCAAGTACCTGCAGCAGGTCAACCACAAACTGCGCCAGGAGAACATGGTCCTGAAGCTGGCCAACCAGAAGAACAGTGAGTGCCAGGGCTGCCCACGGGTGGGCTCAGGGGCCCCTCGCCCAGCCCCGCTGACTCCGGGGATTGCTTTGCAGAGCTCCTCAAGGGCATTGACCTCGGCAGCCTGGTGGACAGTGAAGTGGACCTGAAGATTGATGACTTTAACCAGAACGTCCTCCTCATGTCCCCACCGGCATCTGATTCAGGCTCCCAGGCTGGCTTCTCGCCCTACTCCATCGACTCTGAGCCTGGCAGCCCGCTGCTGGACGATGCAAAGGTATGGACCCCCGGCCCTGACATCACCCATCACCTCCACATAACCGTAGGGGCACAGTAGTCGGCCCGGCCCAGTGTCCAGAGAACCGGGATGGGAGAGGGACAGGAATGTTGGGGGAGAGGAAGGCTGGGAGGGTCTGCAGGGGCCTCTCCACCGTGACTGGTCCTCAGAGAGCGATCTGGGCCGGCTCCACCACAGAGGTGGCAGCTGCCTCGGTAGCGCCTCATTGCTTCCCTCCCCTGCGAGGGGGTCTGGCAAGAACGCTCCGAGAGCAGCGTGTAGGCCGGGGCCACCTCTGGGCCCTCTTCTGGAAATAACAGTCTGCCGTCTTCACAGATCGCACGCAGCCAGGGCTCTTAATCGTCCGGAAAGCCCCCGGTAGTGGCACTTTAATGGAATTAGTTAAAAGAGGCTTGAGCCTGATGAGCTTCCCGGGAGCCCCGGAAACCACAATGGGTGGCGCGGCGGCGTACTTGACACTGGTGGTTTCTGACGCCAAAAAACAAGAGGTTCCCTCGAGCCCGTGGGGCGGACCAAACTGTTCATTGTGGTGTGTCCGAAGTGTTTCGAGGAAGGTTTGTTTTCGAAGTAGATATCATTCTGTAATAACAGGCCGTAACAATGTGCCGGTTGAATTAAGCATCCGCCTCCTCAGAAATTCTCAGATGGTTTTAAAGTGCTAAGAAGGGGCTGGAGCGATAGTCCAGCGGGGAGGGCGTTTGCCTGGCACGGGGCCGACCCGAGTTCGAGTCCCAGCATCCATATGGTCCCCCGAGCAACCACCAGGAGTGATTCCTGAGTGCATGAGCCAGGAGTAACCCCTGTGCATCGCCGGGTGTGACCCAAAAAGCAAAAACAAAACAGAATAAAATAAAATGCTGAGAAGTAGCAGGGGGTGAGCTCAGTGATTGAGCATGTGCCAAGAACCATGTGACAGGAAGGGCGTGCTCTGTGCCCACTGGGCATCAGGGCACTTTGGGTTCTCACCGCCCTTCCTCCCTCGTGGGCTGCCCCCTCCCCGCCTTCCCTCTGAAGTGGGCGTGGGGCAGCATCAGCTGCCCTTTCAGAGCAGTCGCTCCTGGGGGTTGTTGGTTTGGGTTGGATTTTTTGGGTCGCACCCAGTGATGCTCAGGCCTTACTCCTGGGCTCGCGTTCAGGAAGCACTTCCGGTGAGACTCGGGAGAACGTACGTGGTACCAGGAAGCAAACCCAGGTTGGCTTCATGCAAGGCAAGCACCCTGCCTGCTGTGCCCTCTCCGGCCCCCAAACTGCGGTCTTCAGTCCACTCTATTAAGGCCTAGTGGATCACTGTATCACTGTCATCCTATTATTCATCGATTTACTCAAGCATGTGCCAGTAACGTCTCCATTCGCCCCAGCCCTGAGATTTTAGCAGCCTTTTCTTACTCGTCTTTCCCAATGCTGTCGTATTGGGGCTCTTTCAGGGTCAGGGGAATGAGGCCTGTTATGGTTACTGTTTTTGGCATACCGAATACACCACGGGAGCTTGCCAGGCTCTGCCAAGGCCTAGTGGATATGAAATAAAATATGCCATCTTGACAGCACGGTGCAGCCCCGCGAGGTTTAACTGTGATTCCACCAGGAGGGGCAGCATCTCCATCCCCCACAGAGGAGCAGCCCCACACCCCCTCTTCCAGCTCAGACCCTCGTGGTCTGCTTCCACACTCTGGTTTCGCTTTTGGGGAGGTCTCCTGAAGCAGTCGGAGCGTTCCCCTGCAGCCGGGCACTCCCTTCAAACCCTGCATGCCCCCAGCGGCCCTGGTCTGTGTTGCTTCCCAGGCGGTCAGTCTCCAGCGGCAGCTGCCACACCCAGCGATGCTCGGGGCTCTGCCCTGAGGATTTACTCCTGATAGTACTGGGGGGAACCTTCCGGGGTGCTGGGGATTGAACTCAGTCGGTCCTGTGCCAGGCAAGCTCCCTCCCCGCAGTACACAGTCCGTTCTGTGACGCCTTAGCTCACTTCCTAGCTTCCAGCCCGGTTTGTTGGCTTTGAATGCCACCCGTAACTCTCTGATTCTCCACCATCACACGAGTGAAAAGCCTTGTCGAGCTACACAGTGGTCAGTGCGTCCTCCCGGCCCTGTCTTGAAGGTCAAAGATGAGCCGGACTCTCCCCCTGTGGCCCTGGGCATGGTGGACCGCTCGAGAATCTTGCTGTGCTTCCTCACCTTCCTGTGCCTGTCCTTCAACCCCCTGACGGTCCTGCTGCGCTGGGGCGGGGCCAGCGACTCAGAGCAGCACCCCTACTCGGGCTCCGGACGCAGCATCCTGTCGCTGGAGGCAGGTCAGTGGCGCCCTCAACCGGAGCCAGGTGGGCTGGCTGCTCTGGGGGCGGCGTCGGTAACACCCCAAGTTCATTGAGAAGAGCGAAACAGACCAGCGCCCCGCACTGCTGAACCCCTGCAGATGAGAAAGGAGGAGTTGGCAGTGAGGGGCGGGCACCTATGTGAAGGACAAGGGTCCAGTGTCAGACAGGGACCGCTAGCACAGTGTGCCCGCTGGGCATGGGTCCCCGCGGCCTCAGCTGCGAAGTGACCGGGCTGTAGCCTTGCTCCGATTTGTGGCTGTTATTCCCGGCCTGTTGCCCAGTAGGCCCACCGTGGTCACTCCACCCCCACCCCATCTCTGGCTGCTCCCCAGACCCTCCCCCTGCCATGGGCTTACTGGAAACGCTTCCCTGTAGGTTCCGGGGGCTGGTTCGACTGGATGTTGCCGACGCTGCTCCTGTGGCTGGTGAATGGGGTGATCGTCCTGAGCGTCTTTGTGAAGCTGCTGGTTCACGGGGAGCCCGTGATCCGGCCACACTCGCGCTCCTCCGTCGCCTTCTGGAGGCACCGGAAGCAGGCGGACCTGGACCTCGCCAGGGTGAGTCCGGACATAATCTTAATGGCTCAGCCCTGGACACCTCCCAGTGTGTTTTCCAGGGTCACGAAGAGGGTCCCCTGACTCTCACAGCCCCAGGACAGCGGAGGGGTGCAGCGCCGTGAATAACCCCTGTGGGCTGGGAGCACGCGCGCTGCCAGGGCTCGTGGCGGGAAGTGACGTGTCCGGCTCCAGGCGCCTGGGCTTGAGCCTGGCGGGGGCCATCACGGCCTGCCAAGAGGGCAGCGGGTAATGGGGAGATTGGGGACCAGCCTGTCCAGTGTGGAGTACATCAGAGGGAGCTGAGGGCTCCTGCAAGGCCCCAAATTGGGGGGAGTCTCTCTCTACTAACAAATTTAGGGGCTTTTATACATTTTCTGGAAACAGTGACTGTTTTAGAGCAAGAAAACGAGCTGAAAGTTGTCTTTTGAAATGAACGAGGGAGAGTTATGTGGAAGGGCTGGGCTCCCAGGACGGGCCAAGAGTCCCCAGGCTGGGAGCTGCCCAGAGGCCGCGTCTGGGCACCCTGGCGTTCCGACAGCCGGAGGAGGGAGGAGGTATGGCGTGCATCGAGACATGCTGGTGACCTCAGAATAGTGGGCACTGGGCATGGGGGGGGGGGGGCGTACTTTGGTGCTGTGGAGAGGGGAGACAGAAGGGAAATGTCAATGACGTGGACTGCAGAGTCAGGGGCTTGGCCACGGGGCTCAGATGGACTCAGGGCCGAGAGGGCCCTGAGGAGTGAGAAATGGCCTGGGGTCCCCTCCCCCGTGGATTCTGACAGAATGGCACCTGGTGTTGAGAGAGCAGCCCGGAGCCAGAAGGGGGCTGGGAGGAGGGAGGTGCTGGTCACCCGCCTTCCGGGAAAGGCGCCACCACCCGGTTGTCCTGTGAAGTGCAGGCCCGAAAGGCCAGTCACCCCCGTGACGGGGAGGGGAAGGGCAGGAGAGCAGTTTCGCCCGCGCCTCCGGGTCCTCAGTGATGACACACTCAGGGCGTCTTCTGTGATGGAAGCCAAGCCCAGGACACGGCAGGCTGAGGGAACGTCTTGTCACTTTCCAGGGGGACTTCGCGGCAGCCGCTGCCAACCTGCAGACGTGCCTGTCGGTGCTGGGCCGTGCCCTGCCTGCGTCCCGCCTGGACCTGGCCTGCAGCCTCTCCTGGAACGTGATCCGCTACAGCCTGCAGAAGCTGCGGCTGGTGCGCTGGCTGCTCAAGAAGGTGGTCCAGCGCTGGCGGGCCACGCCGGCCACGGCCGCCGGCTTTGAGGACGAAGCCAAGACCAGCGCCCGCGACGCCGCCCTGGCCTACCACAGGCTGCACCAGCTGCACATCACAGGTGGGGGCGCGGTGCCTGGCCTTTGCACGGCCCTCACAGCACACAACCTTCCCGCAGCAGCGCCCAGAAGCCGCCCCCGGCTTCCCACCCTGGTCTCTCGCGTGCCCAGCACGGCACATGCATCGTTTGTCCCAAGTGATCCATCAAGGGGGAACTTGACAGTGGGTGGCATCTCAGATGCGATGACTCGACCCCGTTCCATCCCATGGTCCCCAGCTGTGTGGAAAGGTGGACAGGCCACCTCGGGAGTATAGCTGCACGCGGCAGAGCTGGCCGTCGGCTTGGTGGGGAGGATTTCGGGGGGGTTTCTGCAAGAACCAGAGCTCAGCAGCCCTTCCAGGCCGAGGCATGGCCCAAGGGACCTTGCCCATCATTGTTGTTTTGGGGGCCACATCGAGTGGAGCTCAGGACTTAACTCCTGACTCTGTGCTCGTGGCCATTTGTGGTGCTGGCGATGGGACCAGTGCTGGCCACAAGTAAGGCGATCTCCTCCCCTCCCGCACGCTCTGGCCCCGAGAGTCCCTTTCTTCTTGGCGTTTTGTTGGACCTAATCTCTCTCACCGTGTTTGTGGGCGCAGGGCTCCCTGGCAGAGCAGCGGCTGCTCTTAACCCTGTCACCAGCAAACACGGTGTGTCTGGGGATTCTTAGAACCACCTGTCGTCTTCATAATTCCCACTTACAGGCCACATGCCTGCAGGGGTTCTGAGCACGGGGCCGTCCCCAGCTTCACTCAGCAGGACAGGCCCAGAGCTTAACAGCTCCATTTTTTCCGAGGCTCGTGCCCAGCGCCAAGCCCTTGACATTCATTTTCTCTGCCCCCCGCCTCCAATAGTCATCTCAGACTGGGAAGAACATGTAACTCCCAGCCCAAGGCCGGGTGTTGCCCAGGCCCTTCTCCCCTCATGGTCCACACGCCACCGTGGCTGTGCTGTTGGCCCTGGGCCACCGTCGGCAGCAGGAGAAGCTGCGGGGGCATCCGTGGAGACTCGTGTCTGTTTCTGCCGCCACAGGAAAGCTTCCGGCCGGCTCGGCCTGTTCCGACGTGCACATGGCCCTGTGCGCCGTGAACCTGGCCGAGTGCGCCGAGGAGAAGATCCCCCCCAGCACGCTGGTCGAGATCCACCTGGCCGCCGCCATGGGCCTGCAGACGCGCTGCGGCGGCAAGCTGGGCTTCCTGGCGGTGAGTGGCCCCCTCCCCCCGTCACTCCCTAGACATGAAGTGGACCAAACAGACCCAGCCCCTCGCCGGCTGAGCCGGGATAGTTCAGTGCCTGCATCAGCTTGGTTCTGGACAGTGGGGCTGTATTGGGGGGTGAGTGAGAGGCTCTTGTCCTTTCCAAGCGACCGTGGGTGCCTGGCCTCTCCCGGTGTGTCCCGGTGTGCTGCTGTTGTCTCCGAAGGTGTCAGGCTCGCTGACTTGGCGCTGCGCATCCCTCAGATGGCGCTGGGAGATTCCATGCTCAGTCCTTCTTGGTCCTTGTTAAACCCTCGTAGAGCATCTGCTGCCCGAGCCGCCTCTCACTCCTGCAGACACGGGGGTGGTGTTCACTCAGTGCTCGCTTGGGGGAGGAAACTGAGAGGTCATGTCTCTGTCACCGTCCATCCTGGCAGAGCCACGCGTGGCTGCAGACGGATAGGCAGGTGCCCTGTGGAGACTTTGGAGGGCTCTGAAGCTCATCACAGCTCCCGAAACTGCCCACTCACAGCCCCTGTCACTTGAAACATTTACTCTCGGCCCTGGGCCTGTAAAAATAGATATATAAATCCAGGCTTTACTGACAGCCAGTCATAAGTTTATTTCAAGGCCAGAACGATAGCACAGCAAGGAGGGCACTTGTCTTGCACGCAACCAACCCAGGTTCTATCCCTGACACTCCAGATGGTCCCCTGAGCACTGCCAGGGGTGTGGCTCCAGAATTTAAAAAAAAAAAATCTGTATAAAGAGGTTAGGCTCTAGGTGAGGGGTGTGTGAAATGTCCAGGGGCACCCCATGAGTTCCCTGGGGTCCGTGACCACAGTACCGCAGGGCTACTGGTGTGGGAGGACACCCCGGGACTGGGGCTGGGCCCCAGGGAGCAGGACCACTCTCGGGGTGTAGAGAGTCCGGGTCTGTGGCCCCCGCCAGCCCTCAGCTCCGTAATTGGCAGGTGAGTGGCAGGGAGCGGACTCGGGGCTCCAGGCCGGGTGATTTCTGGGAGCCATCAAACCAGGAACGCGCTCCGAGGGTGATAATCCCATGCAAATGAAAAGGATGGTGGAAGTGACTGCCTCCATCTTCCTGAGCGCAGCCGGGCTGTGGCCCAGAATTGATGCTGCTTATTAATTCGAACCGCTCCGCCGCCCCTCTGAGAGCCGTTACACCGCTGGTGTTTCTTTTCTAAGAATTAAGCTCAATATATTTGAACTAAATGGCTTTCTTTACGGCTCCTCTGGGCTCCGCTTGCAATCAGCCTAATGGGTTTGTTCCCTTCGTCAGTGGGGTCCGGGTCCGTGTGAGGGTCCTCAGTGCCCCGAGCCGCCGCGAGGCCCCCTTGCTCGCCCACACATGCTCCCGGGACAGTGGCGCCTCTGACGCCTGGGACCTCTGCGCCGGCCCCCGGCCCTTGTCTTCTGTGGTGATTTGTGCTCTGAGTCTGCGAGTGTTTTCTCGAAGGCCCAGCAGGGGGTCCCGCTCTCCTGAGCGTGTTCGTGATCCCTCCCGCAGAGACGAGGAAGGGCTGTCAGCGCCGTGACTGTGTTCACACAGCCCTCGGGGCCCCTGGTGCCGGGAGTGGGCCCGAGTGGGTCTGAGAACCGCCCGTCCGGGCTCAGGCGGCTTTTAGCTCCCCGGAACTAAGAGGGCGTCCTGCTCCTTGGGCCTCAAGCGGCCCTGGCCGTGTGTTTCCCACACGGGCATTTGGGTCACTTCCAGCCACCGACTCGGAAAGGTCAGAGCCGTCCCCGCGTGGCTGCTTCTCCTCTTCCTGTCTCTGTCCGTGTCCTCAGCAATCAGCCCGAAGCAAGTGAGGTTTTCCTCTGCTCTGGGGTCACACCTGGCAGTGCCCAGTGCTTCCTCCTGGATTCCAGGCTCAGGGAGCCCCTATGCAGTGCCAAGGGATCTGTCTGGGTTAGCCACGTCCAAGTGCCCTGCCTGCAGTGCTCTCTGCTCTCTCTGCAGTGCTCTCTCTGGCCCTGAAACAAGTCTTTTTAGGGATGGGAAATGAGGCATTCCCAGACAATAAGCAAGTGACGTTTCGTTTTTTGTTTGTTTTTTTTTTCTTTATGGGTTACACCCAGCAATGCTCAGGGTTTACTCCTGGTTCTGCACTCAGGAATCACTCCTGGCGGTGCTCGGGGGACCCTATGGGATGCTGGGAATCGAACCCAGGTCAGTTGCGTGCAAGGCAAACACCCTCCCCGCTGTGCTATCGCTCCAGCCCCGAAGGTGGCATTTCTGACGCGGGGTGGGGCGCTTCAGTCTGGCTGCTGAGGCTAGGCGGACCCTGAGCGCCCTCTCAGCTCGCCGTGTCCACGCGAGGCTCGCCCTGGGATGGACAGGCATTGCCTCAGGCCCACCGTGCAGGGAGGCCTCCCTCGCCTGTGCTGGGCTCATCAACCTACACGGTCGGTCATTAAAGTGACAGATGACAAGAGTCCTGTGTCGAGGCGCTGCCTGGCATGAGCACGGGAGCGCTCTTGGGACTGAGGGTAGCAGCGCAGCAGGGAGGCCCAAGACCGTCCTGGACAAGCCGTTGGGGGGGGGGGGGGTGTCAGGCCAGCGCTCGAGGACAGGCTGCAGCAGGACCCCCTCCACCTGTTGGGTGGGGGGACCGCAGGGTCCCAGCCTGGCCCTCCGTCACCCCCACGCCCTCGGGACTGTCCTTCCACAGAGCTACTTCCTGAGCCGCGCCCAGAGCCTGTGCGGGCCAGAGCGCAGCGCCGTGCCCGACTCCCTGCGCTGGCTCTGCCACCCCCTGGGCCAGAAGTTCTTCACGGAGCGCAGCTGGTCGGCCAAGGCGGCCGCCAAGGAGAGCCTGTACTGCACCCAGAGGAACCCAGGTAGGACCGGGCGGCCGCCGCCACGCAGCAGGCAGTCACCGGGGGCTCCGGGCGCTGCAGGCCCAGAAGGACACGCCAGCTGTGTGACAGCGATCAGAGCTGACAAGTGCGCCCGGGAGGGATGGCCAGGCGGCGGGCGCACTGGATGTCGGCACGGCCGTGGCTCTCCGTGGGGACAGTGCGGGCCTGGTGTTCCGCAGGCGTGGGGGGCTTCCGGGGGTTTTGTGTCTAGCAACGGCATTGGTTAGAGACAGGCTGGTGCACTGCCCCACCAGGCGCAGCTGAACGAGACACCCCAAGTCTCTTAGTCAGCCCACTGTCTCTCCCCACCACGGAGAGCCACTGCCTGTCACCTCGAGTGGGTGGGAAGGGTCCTGCCCTTGGGGAGAAGCGGGGGGAGGCACCGCTTTGCCCGCAGCCCACCCAGGGTTCAATTCCCCACACCCCATGTGGTCCCTCGAGTGAAGTCCCGAGTGCCACTGGGTATGGCCCAAAACCAAAAATAAAAAACAATCTCAGAAGTATTGCCTCATCCTCAGCCCACTGAGGGCGCCTCTGGGCATGGGGGCGGGCGGAAGGGGACAACCCCGCTCTGGGCTCATGGGAGGTGGGGGACGGCTCTCCCCCGCCTCCAGGGCCCCGGTATAATTCGCTCAGCCTGACCCTCGCTGATGACTAGTCTAACGACAAAGCTCATAACACCCCCCCCTTTTTTTTTTTTTTTTGCTTTTTGGGTCACACATGGCAATGCACAGGGTTCCTCCTGGCTCTGCACTCAGGAATTACTGCTGGCGGTGCTCAAGGAACCCTATGGGATGCTGGGAATCGAACCCGGGTCGGTCGCATGCAAGGCAGACGCCCTACCCGCTGTGCTATCGCTCCAGCTCCCCCTTTTTTTTAAATTTTTGGTTTTTGCTCTGGCATTGCTCGGGGCTTCCTCTGGGGTTTGTGCTCTGGGATCACCCCCGGCGGGCTCGGGGACGAACACCTTATCTGCTGTGACATCACCCTGCTTTCTGGTTTTGGAGCCACCCCGGGCAGCTTGGTGGGGCTGCACCTGACTTGGAGCTTGGGGGCGCAGCCCGTTTCGCTTCGGGGACCCCATATGTGGAGTATGCTTTCAGCCCTGTGAGCCGCCCCCCAACCCCCATTTTCTGGTTTCTGACAAGACTACGCCACCCGCTTCCAGCTCCCAACCTTGAAGCCTTGAAGGGAAGGCCTGAACGCCGTGCCGAGGGCGAGGGTGCACACGCACACTCACCCCAGAACCCACCCAAAACCATGGGGGCCTGGGGCCCCACGTCTCCTCCTTCTGACCCCTTGACAGGCGCCTAGCAGGGCGGGGTGAGAAGGGATTGAGCGGTTCGCTGTTTTCTCGAGGCCTCTGGGCTCTGCGGTCGGAACTGGCCCTCACTAGCACTCATCTCCTCTTCAGCCGATCCCATCGCCCAGGTGCACCAGGCCTTTTGCAGGAACCTTCTCGAGCAAGCTGTGGAGTCTCTGGTGAAGCCTCAGGCCAAGAAGAAGGCCGGAGACCAGGAGGAAGAGAGCTGGTGGGTCCCCAACACTGCGGCGGCAGCTCTGGGCTCCGCTGGGAAGGGGTGGGCCATGGACCGTTTTGGTCTCTGCCTGGCCACGCTAGGGACTGGAACCTTCCTTGATGGCCTGACCATTTATTTTCTGACCTCAGGGCCTCCTTCCCAGTAAGATCTAAGAGACCGACGTAGCCGGCCAGGCCTGCCTGCAGAAAGGCATTTTTGCTGGGAGCTGGGGAAGCTTCTGGAGGGAGGGACATTGGAATCGTGAGCTGGAGTCAGGGTCTGGGGGTGGGAGGGGAGGACTGGAGGCGTGTGGGCGAGAGCGCCGGCAGCCAGGCCTCCGGCGGGGTCCTGCCCTCACACGCGGATCCTCTCCTCCAGCGAGTTCTCCAGTGCTCTGGAGTACCTGAAGCTGCTTCATTCTGTCGTGGACTCCGTGGAGGCTGTGAGCGCCCCCTTCTCCAGCAGCTCCGTGCTCAAGTCTGCCCTGGGTGAGCCTCCTGTTGCCAGGGGCCGGGGCTAGGGGACAGAGGGGACTCGGAACCGCCTCCGGGCTGAGGTCTCTGTCCAGGGCCCGCAGCTACCTGTGACAGCATGTGGGGGAGCAGAAATTTCCTCCCCGGCCCTGCATCCCACACCAGGAACCGGCCACAAGGGGCTCCCCTTTCTGATGGGGCTATAGAGTTCCGTTTATCTGTGTCACGTTCCGTACCAGCCTGCAGCTTCTGCCATGGGGCACGGGCAGCTGCTCACCGAAGTGGCAGCAGAACGGTCCGCTGTGTTCGTGAGCTGCACCCGGGGCACAGAGGCTTGAGGCTGCCAGGAGGGACAAGGTGGCAGGAGCCCTCGGGTCACTCAGGAGGAGCATGGTGTCCGCACATCTCGTCCAGTCCATGCGGGGCCAGAGCGATGGTCTAGCAGGGGAGGGCGTTCACCTGACCTGCAGCCCACCCGGGCTCCATCCCCAGATCCCATATGGTCCCCAGAGCCCACCAGGAGTGATCCTTGAGCGCAGAGCCAGGAGTGTGTCCCAAGAATAAAGAGCGAAGAAAGAAGCGGGGTGCCTGTGGGCCTTCGGTGGCAGGCACCCCACCCACTGACCCAGGATCCCGCAGCCAAGAGGGAAAGGCCTGAGTCACGGACCCGGAGCCTGTGCTCGGCAGTTAGAAACCTAGGTCGTTCCTAGGTTGTGGTGGGCTTTTTAGTTGTTTAATTTGCAGGTGGGGGAAAGGTTGGCACCCAGCGATGCTCAAGGGTTAATCCTAGCTCTGTATTCAGGAAGAATTACCCCTGATGGCACTCAGGGTACCATAAGGGATCGAACCCAGATCAACTGCAGGCAAGGCCAGCACCATTCCTCCAGCTCCGTTCCCAGGGTTTGACTTTATAACACCAGGTGGATGACTCAGGTGGGGGGACACGCTAGTTGCTAGGCGAGGTCCCGAGCTCACTTCCTCACCTACCAGCTCCTCGGGGGGGCCCAGGCAGGGCCAAGTACCCTGGCAGCCGCTGGGCTGCGGGGCCGACCAAGCATAACCAGGAGCAGCCCAGTGACTGCGCTGGCTCCACGCACACAAGGACCCACAGTGAGCACCTTTGTTCAACGTCCTCCTCCATCCGGGCCAGTGTCTTTGTGGTCCTAAAGGGGTCCCCTCGCTGGCAGGTGCCTGACCTGCATTTCCAGCACCGATCCGTCTGTGCATGTGCGAGAGCGGGCACGGGAGCCACGTGCCACATGATGGGCCCAGGGGATGGGGCCGGGGGTGACGGTCAGTATCTCCCCATCCAGGCCCAGACCTCGTCTGCCGGTGGTGGGTGTCTGCCATCACCATGGCCATCCGCTGGCTCCAGGGAGACGACGCGGCCGTGCGCACCCATTTCACGGAAGTGGAGCGCGTCCCCAAGGCCCTGGAAGTGGCTGAGTACGTAGCTACTCGGGGGTTCCGGGGCTCACTCGTGTGGCTTGGCAGGGAGGCGCGGGTCTCCATGGCCATCAGGGCCGGGCTGGTTGGGGACCCTCGCCTCTCCTGCCCTGGCCCCCTAGACAGGCCCTTCGAGGCGCCCGCGGAACCGGCTCGGGTCAGTTCCTTCTGGAACCCAGGCAAGTGCGGCACTCCAAGGGGACGGAACTGTTCTGAGTTCTGTGTCCCCGTGTTTTGTCATATAAGAGGCCCGGGGACTCAGGGAGATGGAGAGGAACAGCGGCCTCAGGGACGCTGAGCGCACCCCACCCACCCCGCAGCTGTCCCCACTCCTGGGGACTCATATCCAACCATCTTCCCTGCCCCCGGCCCATCAGCCCTGAGGCCTCACGCAGAGATTTCTCTGTCGCAAACCTGGGGCTGCAGCCTACAGCCCGAGTAGTCATGTCACGGGGCCCCTGACATCAGGGCAGCGTCTGAGACCACCGTGTAGCACCAGCAGGTATTATGCCCACAATACAGAAGGGGAAACTGAGGCCCACCCTGTTTGAAGGACCGTTTCAGTCCCGGTGGCCGAGCCCCAGCCTCTGAGCCCTCCCTTCCAGCACTCCCCATGCCCACTTAGCGGAGGCCACGCTGGGCCTCAGCTGCTGGCAAGTGAGTCACACGGGGGCCGGAGTGATAGTGCAGCGGGGAGGGCGTTTTCCTTGCACACGGCCGACCCGGGTTCAATTCCCAGCATCCCGTGTGGTCCCCTGAGCACTGCCAGGAGTGATTCCTGAGTGCAGAGCCAGGAGGAACCCCCGAGCATCGCCAGGTGTGACCCAAAAACAAAAACAAAAAAAAAAAGAGTGAGTCACGGGGGCCCGAGCGATAGCACAGCAGGGAAGGTGTTTGCCTTGCACACAGCCAACCTGGGTTCGATCCCCGGAACCCGATGTGATGCCCTGAGCCTGCCAGAGGTGACCTAACCCCTCCCCTCAAAACCAGCAAGTGATCGGGGGAGGGGAAGGGGAAAAAGTGAGTTGCAGGCGAGCAAACAGGCCGCCCTCCTTGGGGTAGCTGTCCTGGACGGTCTTGGGGGGCAGCATGTCCCACCCCGAGAGCCCCACGGGGCCCAGGTGTGGGGCGTAGACCGGAGCTGATCCCGGGAAGGAGGCGAGCCCAAAGGCCGGGTCCAAGGGCTGGGCAGAAGCTGGTGAGATGGGGGCAGGCAAGCACCGGCTCCTGCCTCCACCTCCCTCCCCGGGACCTGCCCGGATGTCCCTCTGCACGGAGGACCCCTCGCCCGCTGCCCCGCCCTGACCGTCGCCCGTCCCCGCCCGCAGGAGCGCCCTGGTGAGGGCCGTGCTGCACACGTGCAGAGCCATGCACGCCTCCCTGCCCGGGAAGGCCGACGGGCAGCTCAGCGCCCTGGGCCACTGCGAGCGGGCCAGCGGCCACCTGTGGAGCAGCCTCAACGTCACCGGCACGTCCTGCGACCCCACTCTCAATCACGTGAGTGCCCCCCCCCCCCCGGAGTGCAGAGTCCCCCCCAGCCCACCCCCGCTGGCCCCGCCACGCCCCTCCTCGCGGGCCGCTGCGGTGCATTGTAGTTGCATTGCACGTTGGCCGTACTGTGCAATGTTCCCGCAGTGCATCCCAGAGGCCTGCCTGGCCCTCGAGACCCTCCCCCCCACCGCCCCTGAAGGCCACAGCAGCGTCCTCCTGGAGGGTGCATGTCGGGGAGGAGGCGGGGCTCACCCCAGAAAGGGAGGGAGGCTGTGTCCTGGAGGGTCACATCCTGAGCCCTGCCCCTGGGGTCTGGCTGCCGGTGACCATAGGGATGGACGGGACAGCAGAGCGGCAGGCAGCCGGCCCCTGGCCCGAGGGTGCCTGGCCCCTCTGTGCTTTTCGGGGCACTTCCCGCCTGTTGGTTCTCGTGGCTAGCCATAGCCCCTCCCCCCACCCTTGAGGGATGAGGGGCAGCTGCAGGGACCCTGGGGGCTGCCCCATGGGAGAGGGGGCGCCTGGTGGGCCTCAGGCCAGGATCCGGCCCCCACCCCCACGGCTACGAAAGCGCCATCCACCAGCGGGGCCGAGGCGTCGGGACACAGGAAGGGCCCGTTCGGCTGCGCTTGCAGCAGCTGAGGAACCGCTTCGCCCAGTGCTCGTGAGGACCAGACACAGGCCCACACACAGTGCCCACGGCGGCCCTCTGGACTGCCTTTGCACACCCATTTTGTGGCTGGGGAAACTGCGGCCCGGGAAGCTTATGTGCCGGGAGCCAGGGGTGTCGGCCCCTTGGGCAGTCTCCGTGCCCTCCGCCCACTCTCCCCGGACAGGGTGGCTCAGCCTGCGGGTGGGCGGCACGAACTGGATGAGATCAGTGTGTCAGGCCTGAGGGTCTCAGCCAGAGCCGCCGGCCTGTGTCCCTGCAGAGCTGTCACCTGGACCCAGCGACGGGCCGTCACCCTTGCCCTCCGTCTTGCCCCCACAGGTGGTCCAGCTGCTGACCTGTGACCTGCTGCTGTCCCTGCGGACAGCGCTCTGGCAGAAGCAGGCGGGAGCCAGCCAGGCCCTGGGCGACACCCACCACGCGTCGGGCACCCAGCTGGCCGGCTTCCAGCGGGACCTGGGCAGCCTGCGCCGGCTGGCACACAACTTCCGTCCAGCCTACCGAAAGGTCAGCCTCACTGGGGGTGCGGGGGGACCTTGAGAGCTGACCCCGTACTTGGGCAGGCAGAAGGACCCCCGGCTTTCCTGACAGCTCTGAGTGGCTGAGCCGGGGCGGCCCCTTTTCCTGCACCTCTGGGGCTTGGCTCTGCCCTCAGTGCTCCAGCGGGGTCCATCCCCGAGACAGCCCTGGTGCTGGGCCCACGTCCCTTCCTTGTGTGGCTGGTGTTGATTGGCAGTCAGCATGACCCGTGAAGTCACGCCTGCCAGAATTCTCACCAGACCCAGGGAGGGGCCGGGCAGGGGCCGGGAGGTGTCGGGTCACCTGGGCCACAGCGTCAAGGGCACTGGGTGCAGTGAGCTGGGACGGCGAGAAGTCGAGCTCGGGTCCCATGATGAGGGCAGGGACCCCAGGCTGGTGCCCGGCCCCACCCCACAGCGCATGTTCTTGCCCCTGCCCGGGTTCCCACCCCTCCAGCTCATTTTGGGGGGCCAAGGGAGGGCCACACAGGTGGCCTACCGTGTGGGCCGGATGCGGGGGAGGAGGCTGCATCAGGCTTGGCCTGTCCCCAGGTGTTCCTGCACGAGGCCACGGTGCGTCTGATGGCGGGCGCCAGCCCCACACGTACCCACCAGCTGCTGGAACACAGCCTGCGGCGGCGCACGGCCCCGAGCACCAAGCACGGTGAGTCCCCCCGAAGGTAGGGGCAGGAGTGGGGGTGCTGCCCCTACCGGCCCCCCCACACCACATACATGGCCCCCCCTACTCTTGGTGAACCCGTCCTTCCGGTCTCGTCCCCACAGGCGAGGCGGACGCCTGGCCCGGCCAGCGCGAGCGGGCCACCGCCATCCTGCTGGCCTGCCGCCACCTGCCCCTGTCCTTCCTCTCGTCCCCGGGCCAGCGCGCCGTGCTGCTGGCCGAGGCCGCCCGCACCCTGGAGAAGGTGGGCGACCGGCGCTCCGGAGACTGCCAGCAGCTGATCGTCAGGCTGGGCGGTGGCACAGCCATCGCCGCCTCCTGACCCCCGGGCCGCCCCGCCTGCTCCGTCTCCCTCCTGACCCCTCGCCCTCTGCCCCATCTCTCCCCTCCTCCTGTCTCATGCCCCCTCATCTCTGCCTCTCTCCGCTGTGACTCAGTTTCTCCCTCGGGAGCCCTCTCTGCCGAGCTCTCCTGCCAAGGCTCTTGGACCAGCTCCCACACCCGCGCGCCCTGCCGCGTGGACCCCTCGGGCCGCTGGAGGCTGCAGGGTGGGGCCGCAGGGACGGGACTGGGGCCCCTGTCGGGAGAGCAGCACAGAGCTCCCCGCCCTTGGCCCGTCCCCGCCCCCTGGTTTTTATGAGCTCTCCTCTGGGGGGTCCGCGCCCCCAGCCCCTTTTTATACAGATGTTTTTATACCAGTGTGCTTGCTTTGCCGTGGTGCAGGGCCGCGTGGCTGGCCCCTGGGCCCGCCTCCCTGAGCCTGTCCCCTCCCGTGCTGCCCAGCACCCGTTGGCGACCCAGGACAGCCGGGAGACGGGCGGGAGGCAGGGCCAGGCCTGGGGTGGATGAAATGATGTCGGCATTATTTTTTAATTTTTTTAAGAAATAAATGGTATCTTATTTAATTGTCCTGTTCCTTCCCACCGCCCCGCCCCTGGATGTGCCCCCGCACTGGGGAGGCCCTGGGGGGCTGGGGAGTTGAAGCCCCCAGGCCTTCAGCATGGGCTCGAATCCCCTTCACCCCTCCCCTACCTCCGGTCTGATTTCACCCCTGGTAAGCGGGAGCAAGGGAGGGGTGCAGACTCCCACGCTCCCACGCCCCCAAGCAGGCCCCTCTGTGGGTGAACACAGGTTGCCTGAGGTGGTCCCTACCTCGAAGGGGGTCCTGGAGGAACATGGCTGCACTTTTTGGGGGTTCCCCCAACCCCAAGGTCATTTCCACCAGGGCCTGAGGGCTGCCTGCCCTCGGATGGGCCAGCTAGGCCACACACGGGGGTGCCCCGTTCGGGCCCTGAGCAGCCGGAGCCTGCACCCCCGTCCCCCACGCCCCGCCTGTGTAGACTGCCTTTTCTCGTGGTTGTTGGGGGATGGGAGGGGGGTCCTGATGGGGGTGCCTCTGGCTTCATTCCTGTGTCTTGGACAAAGATCCTTCAATAAACACAGCTTGGTACCACCCAGCAGGCCGTGTGTGCGGGTCTGTGCGGGGCTGGGGGTGCCGCGGCATCGGAGGGCACAGCCGCACTTTGAGGGACAAGTCTCGGCGCTGCTCGCCGTGTCCACCACTCACGAGAACTTGCTCTGGACACCCTCCGCCGCCTCTTCCCGGACCCAGTGACCCCACAGGTCACCTCCAGTTCTGACGACCAGGCTGGGCCTCCACTTGACTTGGGGCCTCAGTGAAGAGGCCTGTGTCCATCTGGGCCAGACACCCAAGTGCCACGGGAGGTGCCAGGACCACGTTTGGCTCCTGGCACCCCCAGACAGGGTGAGTATCCCGCGGGAACGGGCCTGAGGGCTGAGCCCAGGGTGGGCCCCTCAGGGCACCCCTATTGAGAAAAGGCAAGTCCCAAAGCCACTCCCTGCCCCCCCCCAGGTGACCGTGGCCTTAGCCTGGCCCTCTGTGGGGAGATCCAGGACCCCTGGAACTAGGAATGAGTAAAGAGGTTGCACCCACCCCCCGGGTCCTGCCCAGCCAGGGCCTGCGTCACCGGGGTGGGTAGTCGTGGGTGGCCCAGGTGCCCGGGCCTCCTTTTGTGAGTCTCGGCGGGCGCCATGACTCAGCGCCCACCCCCCTCCCCCGGCTCTACACAGCTGGCAAATGGGCCCAGGGGTGCCCACCCGCACCCTGGCACCCCTGCTCCCCACTGGGACTCTCACGAGCGGAAAGGCAAGCTCGGGTCCTGCCTCCCCCAGGGTTCCCAGAAGCAGAGAAGGGGAGTGTCCAGCATGTGACGTGGGTCAGGCCCCTCCCTGCCTGCAGCCCCCCGAGTCCCGGTCACATTCACTGTGGCAGCAGAATCCCAAAGGCCCCTAAATGGAGTCACGGGAAGGGTCAGGACCCTGAGGCCCCCAGGTGCGGAGGGCAGCAGCCGCCACACCCCGAGCTCAACTTTGCCCAGGGCTTACCTCAGGAAATAAGGCCAGTGGGGTGCTCCGTGGTGGTCACAGTGAGGGCACTGCCCCGCCCCTAGACACCCCACCAGGACCCGGCCAGAGGAGCCCCAAGCTCACCGTCCACAGGCCTTGCCCTAGGAGAACTGGGCACGCCAGGAGGGTACTTCCGGGGCTCCAGCACCCCCGGCCCCTCATCCCCCGGAGCAGCTATGGGAGGGAGGCTCTCCCGTCCCAAGACCAGCTGTCCACCCGGCCCACTGCCCACACTCATTGGGGGGTGGCTCCGAGCCAAGCTGGCCAAGTGGCCTGTGGGCAGGGGGCCGGCGCCGGGCCAGACTGTCAAGGAGCAGCCACAGGCTCCCCCGCGTTGGAGGGGCCTCACCCCAGCCGGGGGCACGGACCTCCCCCTGCCCGTGCCCAAACCTCACGCTGGCCAGCAGCTAACTGCCCCCTCCCCGGGGCTCCCCGGCATCCACATTCAGGCTGGCACGCAGCCCCGCCCGCCCTCCGCAGCCACTGCTCCCTGCTCCCCGCACACGCTGCCAGTCCTGCCTGGGCACACGCTGTGCCCGTCTGTGCAGCAGTGACCGATGCCTCCACCGTCAGCCTCTACCGCCGGGGCTGGGGCTCGTTTATTCTCAGGGACGGGAGGGTTTATTTACACAAGGACCCACCACGGACCTCCAAGTGCGTCCCTAAGACCCGGAGTCGAGGCCCCTTGCCCCGCGCGCGGGCAGGTGGCCTGTGGGCAGCGCCGTCACACGGTGACCTCGGCCTTGCTGTTGGTGCTCAGGTGCCGGGGCCCGCGGCCCGCGCTGCCGTAGTACAGGCCCGGGGGGTGCGCGCTGAAGGCCTCGGGCAGCTTCTCCACGCTGTACTGGCGTCGGGGCGTGTGGCCAGGCCGACGGGCGTGCGGCGAGGCCTGAGCCGCCGGGTGGCCGCGGGGGGCGGGGCGGGGCGGGCGGCCGGCGGTCCAAGCGCTGTAGGGGCCCGACGGGGTGGGGCCGCCGCCGGGGGGCGCGTAGCCCGGAGGGGACCAGGGACAGGCCTCCAGCAGCTCGGACAAGTCTTCAGGGGGCCGCAGAGCCCGCGCCGGGAGGGTCAGCGGAGCCGGCTCCGGGGCAGGAAAACGCTGGTAGAAGTCGGGCGGGCCGGCCTCTGCGGGGACAGGTGGGGACCCTGAGGGGGCGGGGACCCGGGGAGGGGCGTGGCCTGTGATGTGGGCGTGGCTGGTGGGCGGGGCTGCTCGGTGAGGGGCGGGGCCTGGCGCCCGGACCCCGGAGGGCGGTAGGGTGGGTGGGAGCGCACTGACCTCGGCAGGGCGACCCAGAGGCTGCGGAACTGCACGGCGAGGGGATGCAACTGCACGGCGAGGGGATGGCGACGCCGCCCGAGACCCCCACCCCCCGGGCCCGAGTCAGTCCGGGGGCTTAGACCTGCGGGCACCCCGCCCCGCGCACTCACCCGCCGCCTTGACCGGCGCGAACTTGGCGAAGTCGCGCTGCAGCGTCAGGCCGCCGCCGTCCTGCAGCCGGGGGCAGCGCGGGGGCCCGGGGGTGGCCGAGGGCCTCAGCGTCGAGGTGTGGGGGCGTTTCTTGTCTGGAGGGGGCGGGGAGTGAAGAGAGGCGCCTTGCAAGCTACCGAGAATTCCCGATTCGGGCCGGACCGCGCCCGCCCCGCGCCCGCCAGAGCCTGGACCCAGGCTTGGAGGAGCCCGCTGACCTCATGCATGCGCCGCTGACCTCATGCATGCGCCGAGACCCAGGCCCGCCCCGCCCCCCGCCCCGGGGAGGTTGAGGAGTCGAACCCATATGGGGGAGGGGGGCGTCAGCCTGGAAGAGGTGGTCACACACCCAGGCCACGCAGACCCGGACACAGCCAGAGGAATCTGGAACCGTCTCTCAGTCACATCCTCCACTGTGGAGGTGCTGGACCACCCCCTCCCCGCCCCCAGAGGGTCCCGGAGCGGCAGACAGCGATTTCCCACTGGGGCTGACGCCCACCCCAGCCTGCCCCTACGCCCCCAGGCCCGGGCAGGAAGGGAGGCACACACCTGTGCTCTTGGGCGGGGAGCCCCGCCGGGGCCCCTCCCCCACCTGCACCTGCACACAGCTGCCCAGAGGCGGGGGCAGGGGCTCCTGCGGGCCGGGTTGCTTTAGCAGCTCGGTCAGCGTCCTGTGGGGAGTGGACAGAAGTGGCTCCAGTCGTGGCTCCAGTCTCCTGCCTCCCAGTCGCCACGTGTGAGGCCAGCCAGGCAGCTCCCGCAGCGCAGCAGCCTCTCTGGGCCCCCTTCCCTCCCGCCCCGACCTCTCCATCTGCTTTTTCCCACCACAAATGGCCTGTGGCTTCCAGAGCTGGTGAGAGAAACATCGGGTTACACAATCAGGGGCTTCCCCTGCACACGCACCCACTCAGACCCACATTCACATACTCAGTCACACACAAACTCACACTCACATACTTGTATACACACACGCGCACATCCCCAGATACTCAACATACACTCATACATACACACTCATACATTCATATGCTCATATACATCTCACACACACACACACACACACACACACACACACACACACTCTCTTCCGGGAAGGCCAAGACAAATATCCCTGCCCGAGCTGGTGAACAAAATCAGGCTCCTGGACTCGGCTCATCCCTCTGCCCACAGTATTTTTCCCTCCATCCCTCCATCCCCTCCTAAAACTCCTCCTCATTCTGCAAAACCCACTAGAATCCCTTCTCCTCCAGGAAGTCCTCTTTTCCTGCCCCTCTAAGTCCCCTCCTGCAGTAGGGCTTCTGCTGGGTCCCAACACCAGCATGAAGGAGGGATGACAGAGGAGGGAAGGGGACAGCCAGGAGGCCACGTGATCCTGGCCAGGCACGGCCGGCCCTGGGGACCAGAACACCCAGCCCCCACCCAGCTGTGACAGCGTCTGACGGAACCTCAGCCCAGCTGCCTGCAGCGCCCAGAGCCCATGATTTCCGCCTCCGCGGTCTGACCCTCCTCCTAGGGCTGAAGCCTCAAATGACTGACTCAGGGAGGCGAGGGGGCACCTGGGGTAGCTGGGACGAGAGAGGCCAGACCGCCACGGGCCCTGCCTGCCCACCAACAGCACCCCCAAACACCTAAGTAATGCCTGCCTCGCCACCAGCACCCCCAAACACCTGAATGACGCCTATCTCACCACCAGCACCCCCCAAACACCTGGGTGACGCCTCACCACCAGTACCCCCGACACCTGCCTCGGGCTTTTTGCACAGACCCTTTGCTCCAAGCCTCTGCACAGGTGTCCGGGGCCAGTCCCCCCTCCAACATGGCAGAATTGGGGGCAAGATTTGAAGGAGGGTGGCGGTCAGGACACAGGTACATATAAGCTCTCCGGGCTCCCCAGAGGAAGAGAGAAGCAGGGGAGATGGAGACATGGAGACGGAAGCCCAGAGAGGGAGCTAGACCTGCCCCATCAGTCATGCGCCCCATCAGGATCTTCCGTTCCATCGTCCCACGCAGGGACAAGGACGTGGCCTGTCCCCTGCCCTCCTCCAGCACAAGCAACTCAGAGCTCTGGGGGTGCAGCCGCCCCTCAGCTCAGCGTATCTGGGGCCCAGAGGCTCCAGCCTCACGCGTGCTCTGCAGCTCTCCTGGAGGAGCAGGCTGAGGGGTCTGGGGGTCCTCTAGCTGAGGCCGCTGAGCAGCCAGACCTGGCCCAGGCCTGGGGGGTTGCTCCATTGCAACTTGCTTCCATGGACGGTGCTGTCACTCCCCCGGCCCAGGCCAGTGAGAGTCTTCGGGTCAGGGTTCTGTGTCCTGTGGGACTCCTGCACCTGTCTGCAGAGGAGTCCCAGACACAGCGGCACCCTTTAGTCCAAGGGAGGCCTGGGGTGGGGACAGGGGAGGGGAGCGGGGGAGGCTCCCTAGAACCCCAGGAAAGGTCAGACCTGAGTCACAGGGATGGGGTGAGGGGGGTCGGGGAGCAGGGAGCGAAGGTGGGGGAGAAGCAGGAGAGGAGAGCCACAGCCTAAGGTCCCTTCCTTCCTGGGGGTCAGCGGCACCCAATCACACACACCCCCCCCCAGTGCCCCTCTCCCTAGAAGGGCGGGGAGGGGTGCCCTGGCCCGAGAGTCCGGTTCAGGAGGCGGATTCCTCCACGGCCTTGGAGAACGGCAGCCCCAGCACCCAGCACCCAGCACCCGCACCCGGTCCCGCCGAAGGTCAAGGAGAGGCAGCGCCGGGCGGGTATCAGCTGTCGCCCTCGGAGAAGTGACAGCGACGGGGACGGGCCGGCGGGGAGGGGCCGAGCTGCAGACGGGCGCGGGGAGCCGGCGGGGTGGCCGCGCGGGACGAGGGTCGGGGCGGCGGGCGGGGCGGGGCCGCGGGGCTCACCTGGTCACGGTGCGCCGCGCGCGCGGGCTGTGCGCCCTCTCCAGGCCCAGGCGCACCCCGATGCCCGCCAGCACGAGCAGCGCGGCCACGCCGCACACCGCGTAGACGGCCGTGTGGCTGCGCTCGCGGGCCGGGTCCCGGGGCGCGGCGGGCTCGCGGGCGCGCGCGGGCGGCCGGCCGGTCTGCACCCAGGCGGGCGTGTCGTAGTTGGAGCAGCGGCTCTGGTCCAGGCGCCGCGGCCCGTCGTGGCAGCAGAAGCGGTAGCCGCACGTGCCGCAGCAGAAGCTGTAGGCGCCCGAGCTGCAGTTGAAGGGCGGGTCCCACTGGCCCATCACGTCGTAGTAGCCGCGGCAGCGGTCGCCCCCCGCCGGGGCCGCGGTCCCCGGCGCCGCCGCGGGCTCGGGGGGCGCCTCGGGAGCCCCCGCGCGGCCCGACGGCGGCGCCAGCAGCAGCGCCAGCCCGAGCGCCAGCGGGAGCCCCCGCGCCCCGGCCCGCTCCATCGGGCCCGCGCCTTCGGCTACGGCGCCCGGCGCATGCCCGCCGCCCGCCGCCGCCTCGGGACTCGCCCCTGCTCGGGCCGCGGCCGGCCGCGGGGTCCCGGCTGGCGGGGGCGGCGGCGATCGCTGCCTGCCCGCCGCCCGCTCGGCGCTGCCCGCGCTCTGGCGGCGGCTCGGGCGCGCGGGGAGGGAGGAGCGGGCGGGAGGCGCCGGGGGAGGAGCGCGGCCGCCGCGGCGGGGAGGGGGCGCGCTCGGCCCGGCGCCCCCCGGGACGCCCCGCAGCCGGGGCCCCGGACTCCCCGCGCGGCCCGGCGCCCCCCTGGACTCCCCGCAGCCTGTCCCCGTCCCGACTCCCCGCACGCGCGGCCCCGCGCCCCAGGGACTCCCCGCACCGCCCGGCGCCCCCCGACTCCACGCGCGGCCCGGCACCCCCGGACTCCCCGCAACGCCCGGCGCCCCCACCCGACTCCCACGCGCGGCCCCGCGCCCCAGGGACTCCCCGCACCGCCCGGCGCCCCCCGACTCCACGCGCGGCCCGGCGCCCCCCCGACTTCCCGCAACGCCCGGCGCCCCCCACCCGACTCCCACGCGCGGTTCGGCGCCCCCCGGACTCCCCGCAGCCTGCCTCCTGCGCGGCCCGGCGCCCCCCGACTCCACGCGCGGTCCCGCGCCCCCCCGGACTCCTCGCAGCCTGTCTTCCGCGTGGCCGGGCGCCCCCCGACTCCACGCGCGGCCCGGCGTCCCCCGACCGCCTGGCGCTCTCCGGACTCCCCGCAGCCTGGCGCGCCGTGGCTCCGCTCAGGGACACTGAAAGTTCGGACCTGCGGCCGCTGTTTACAGGTGAGGGGACAGTGGGGACCGACCGCCGCCGCCTGGCCCCCCGCGCCTTCTCGCCGCCTCTGCCCTCCTGGACACGGAGCCGTGACGTGAGGGCGACCCTTTCCACCACCACCACCCCCACCCCCCACACCCCGCGCCTCGCTCCGGCTCTGCGCCGCCTCGGTTTCCCCTCCTGCGAAATGGGCAGGAGCCCCGCAGCTGAGCCGCCGCTGCAGAGCGCGGGCTGCGCCAGGCGACTGCCGGGTCCAGGGTCCCCGTCCCCACCCATACGGCCACCCACGGCGACAGGCACAGCGGCCACCCCGGGTAGGAGCGGGAGGGCACAGACAGGGGGCCCTTAGGCGCACCCTCCGCCCAGCACAGTCCGGTCAAGGCTTTGAAGCTGGTTTGGGGACTGTGTTCCTGTGTTCGTTTGTTTGGGGGGTAGTGGAGACATCGAAGTTGATTTTAACCAGTAAACGTGGTAAACCGAGTCCCCGCACCTTGCTTCTTTCTGCCTCCGTTTCTCATTTTAGTATCCAAAACTCTTCCTAGCAAGAGACCGATCTTGGATCCTGTCCCTCCCTCCTCCAGGTGGGCAGGTGTGATACCCCTAGCCAGGCCCCCCCACCCCCGTCCTCAGCTCCTGTTGTGCCCCCCCCCAAATGGACACCCGTGTCGAGTTCTTTCTTCCTGGCACTCCTCTGCCCTTTCTGCCCTCCAAGGCCGCATCAGCTGATCCAAACCCTGCGTGAAGGGGAGGGTTCCCACTGTAAGGGGAATCGAATCCTGAATCCTGCGCAGAAGGGCTGACAGGCTAATTTCAGGTGTTGGCGAGGGAAGAGTTCAGGCAAGGAGCTGAGCTGCCAGCTGCAGGTGATCCTGGGCCCCTCCCTGTGGAATGCCCCTCCCCCTGCCAGCAGAAACACCCCCTCCCCGAAAAAAACAAAACTGTTCAATTCTATTTTATTATTGTGTGTGAGGGGGGAGGAATGGGCTTGCTGTGGAGTCGCATCCCAGACACATTGTTCCAAGTTTAGAGCGAGAAAAATAAATAAATAAATGATCCAAGGGAATAACAGAATTGGCCGCGCATTTCGGACGGTGGGGGGGGGGTCGTTGGGGTGCTAAGTGGCCACTTTCCCCACCCTTTGGGCGCTGGCTTCTGGCTGACCTCCTGGAAAACCAGCTTTGTGCTCTCAGGAGACCCTGCAGGTAGGCAGGGAGCGGCGGGGGTAGCCAGCCCCTGACCACTGAGCCCTCTTGCCCAGGGCCTGCGGACCACCACCCTCTGCAACCCCCAGCCAGCACCACCTGCCTGGACAATTGATCTTCAAGTTCAACTTCATGTCGTCTTCTCTTGTTTTCTGGGCTACTCCTGGCCTATTTTGGGGGACCCTGTGGCGGCAAGGATGGACCTGGGGGGCCCTGCAGGCAAAGCCAGTGCTCAGCCCTTCAGGGGCCACTCCCTGGCCCCTCAGTCTCCTGCTGCCTCCCACCAGGTGCTATTGATGAGGTAGCCACTTGCCCAGTGAAGGGGCTGGGCTCCCCTAAAACTGGACATCACCCCCACCTCCTCCCCACACACACTGGGCTTCCTCCCTATCTCGGGCTGTCTCGGCGGTCAGCCCAGAGCCTGGTGCCAGGTCAATGCCCTCTCCTCGTGCATATACAGGCCTGAGCCCCGGAACCAGTGGACACTGACCCCCGCACCCCTCCCTGCCGCACACACACCTTGCCACTTGCAGGGCAAAGGAGACTGAGAGGCAAAGCATCTCGGCAGAGTGACCCCTTTGTCCACGCCGGTCCCAGGACCCTGGGGGTCTCTCCCACCACTGCCAGACTCCAGGGCAGTCGCCTCTGTCGCTGTCACTTCTGTCTTCATCCCACCCCTCACCCCCAGTCTGTGTCACCTAAAATCGTCCATTGATCCTGGCTTAAAATAACCCCTGGCATCTGCAGCGGGCCCCAGGGGCGGGCGGGCAGAGGAGCCGAGTCTCCGCGTGTGAAGGGCACCCGCCCCGCCCCCAGCTCCGACTGCTGGCAGCTCGGGCGTGCGTGTGGCTGTCTGAGCACCCGTGCTGGGGAGTGTGCTTGCGAGGGCCTGCCGGCACCCCTGCACCCACACCCACGCCGGGTGCGTGCACCTGTACACACACATTCCACATGCTCCCCTCCCACCCAGGAGGTCCTGAGCGGTCGCGCCCCCCCCACACACACACACCCAGGGCCAGTGCTGGCCTCAGCGTCTGCACTTCCCACGGTCTCATGCGCTAAGCATCAGGGGCTTCCTGGAGACGACCCGAGACCCCCAGGAGGGAAATGACCAGGAAGGCCCCCGGCAGGCATTGGGAGCCCCACCCCAGCTGCAAGGGGAAGCCGAGGGGCCTTTTTACCCACCTGCTGACCACAGCCCACAAACCTCAGCTGCAGCCGCACCCAGAACCTCCCCACAGGAAGTGCTCCAGCCCGCTCCCTGGTTGGGCTGAACCCAGACGGCTGGAGTTCCTTCCTGCTGGAATGGGCGAACGGGCGTCAGCCTCTCCAGGCCTCTGATTTTTCACCAGTTGGATGGGGCTGAGGCTGCTCTGGGTTCAGGGATGGGGGGTGGGGGGCCAAAAGTCCCCCAGGTGCACTCAGGCTACCCCTCCCCCCAGCCCTCACAGACAATGGTGATTATCACCATGGGTGCCTTCTCCCTAGCCGGAGCTCTGTCCCCCCTTCTGTCCCCTTCCGCCGGGGCGGGCTCCCCAAGAAACAGAGAGGCTGATGGGCTCCCCGCTAGCTCAGATGCCTCAGCTACTCCCCGGAGGGGGTCTGGAGGGAAGGGCCCCCACCTCCTTTGTCCCTGGGAGGCAGCTCGTGACTCAGGCTCCAGCTGTCTGTGGGAGGGAGGGGGCGCCTGGGCTCCTGAGGTCGAGGGAGCGGAGGGCTGGGGGTTGGGGGTGGGAGCTGGGGCGCAGCCTGGCTCCCCAGGGACCCACCCCTCTCCACACCTCCCCACCGACATGCACAGTCCACGCCTGCCACTGGGAAGTCTGGTTCCCACATCCCGGCCAGGTCCCAACGCCTGAATCGCCTCCTTGACGTCTCTCTTCTTTGGCTTGGGAACCCTGCAAAGCCCCTTGGGGAACTTGCAAACTCTGAGCTGGCCTCCCAGTCGTAGGGGCCAGGAACAGACGGGCTCAGCAGGGGCCAGGGGCAGCAGGGCTAGCCCCCCAAATCCCCACCCCCAAAGCCCAAAGCCTTGCCAGTCTGGGGGGGGGGGCGGTTCCTGAAATGCCACTCGGCGCGGAGCCCAGAGCTCAGGGCACTCCATCTCCACCTCAAGTCCGACTCCTGAAGGCTCGCGAGGCTCGAGGAGGCGAGAAGCTGGGTGGAGCGCGGGGGGTCAGGGTCTGGAGGGTGGGGCCCCCGGGGATCCAGGGGGTCCGGAGTGATAATGCTTGGCTTGTTTCCATTTCCCGCACCCCAGAAGGTCTTTAGAGCCCCCCCAGGAGTGATCGCTGAGCGCATACCCAGGAGTAAGCCCTGAACACGGCGGGGTATAGTCCCCGCCCCCCAAATAAATCAAAGCCCTTGGGCCTTAAACCCACCTTCAATGCTCCCGCCCCGCCCCTTTCTAGCAACCTTGCCATGGCCCCGCCCATAACTGGCCCCGCCCCGCATCTGGCTCCTCCCCTCCAGTGTCTGGCCCCGCCCCTCCCGAGCCCGGCCCCGCCCACCGGCCAGGGGTCCCCTCGCAGCTCCTGGCGGCGGCCCAGGTGGTCCCCGCCGGGCCGCCCGCGCGGACCCACGTCCTTGTCCGAGGCCGCCGGACTCCTCAATTCGCGGCAGTTTGTCGAGGCCCTCTGAGCCCGGGACCCCGCAGTGTTCTCGCGTCCTCCCCGGCCCTCCGCAGACCGCCCCCCGCCCCGACCCCATGTCTCCCCCACTAGGACCCCCGGGCCCGGCGGCGGCGGCACAGAGCGGGGACAGGCCGGATCTCAGCTCCGCGGGACGCTGGCCGGAGCTCAGCCCGTGGGGGGTGACCTCCCACCGTCCGGCGCCACGCCGGGCCGGGCCAGGGGCGTCTGGCGGGGTCGGGAAGGGAGACCCCGGCGTGAGCCCAGAGGAGCCCGCCAGGGGGCGCTCTGGGCGGTCCTGACCGCGGTGGCCGGCGCCGCTCCCCCCTCCCCTGCCTCTCCTACTGGGGGGTCATGCCCAGCGCTGTCACGGAGCGGCTGCTCCCAGGGGTGTCCAGTCCGGACGGAACCCGCTGAGCAAAGACCCTGCCCTGCTCCCCCGCAGACTCCTCTCTCCCTCCCTCTCCTCCTCTCCCTGCCTCCCTCTTTCTCATCCTCCCTCTCCCTCCTCCCTCTCTTGCTCGTTCCCCTCTCCCTTTCTCTCTCCCTCCCCTTCTTCCTCCTCTTTCCCTCTCCCTTTCTCCTCCCTCTCTCTGCCTCTCCCACCCTCCCCCTCCCCCCATATAGGGAAAGGACCACATAGGATCCCCCAGCCTTGTCCTTGTGGCTCACTGTCCCCCCCCCACGTGCTGCCCTCTAGCGGCAGGGCGAGGAGCTGCGTGTGCCGAGGGGGGCGCCAGGCGGCGTCGGGGGGTGGGGGGCCGCGTGGTTTCCGAGGGTGGGAGTCCGGGCAGCGGCGCGTCCCCAGGGAAGGGCGGAGGGGGACCCCTTCCTTCGCGGCTGCGGAGCCCTCGGGCCCCTGCGGGAGATGGGAGCCAGACCAGCTGGCTGCAAGGGGCAGCGGGGTGGGCCCAGAGACGGGGTCTTCGGGGGCCTGGGGCGCGCCTCCCCACCCCCACGGCGCAGTGGGGCCGCCGCAGGAAGTGAAAGGTGCCTGCAGGAAGCGCAGGAGGAACCGAGACTCGGGTCAGCCCCGCCCCACCTGGGCCCTGGGGACCTGCGGGGACCAGCCCCTTCTTGGGGACTGCAGACCCAAAACCCAGAGGGAGGGGGCCGCCTCCTGGCTCTGAATCTGTCTCGGACCCCTCCGGCCACTAGTGGGAAGAGAAATCTGAGACGACCCCTGAGAACCAGTGGGGACCAAGCACATCCCCTAGTGAGCGTTTGTGCTGCTGATGGACCCAAGGGCCCAGCCCTGCTGTCCGGCTGTCTGTCTGGCGACTGTCTGGCGTTTCCAGGGGGGCTGGAGCTTGTCAGGCCACAGCAGGAATCCGGGGAAACTTCACAAATGTCGTAAACCTTGGTGAAGTGTTGACCAGACAGGAGTTAGCCCTGAGCATTGTGGGTATACCCCCTCCCCACCAAAAAAAAAATAAAAACTATAATAAGGACCAGAATTCCCCAAACAGGAGAACCAAGATAAGACTCTCTAGGAACAGAACAACCACAAGGGCCATAGACACACACCCCAGCCCCAGCGGGGGGCACCCTGTGGGATACTCCTGAACTCTTCAAAGTGCAAAATACACCTCTGGATTGTTTTAAATAAGACTTTATAAAGCAAACAGAAACACCCAACAACAACAACAACAACAACAAAACAGAGATGGGAGGAGAGGAGGGCTGGATGAAGGCTCAGTGGTAGGGGGTGGAGACCCGAGTTTGCTCCGTGGCCCCCAAGTTAATCAAACAATAAAGGTAGAGGAAGGAGGCGCTGAGGTCCCCCGACAGACAGCACAGACCAGAGGCGGCTCTCTCCCTGCCTGGCTGTCTGCGGGAAGGCTTTGGGGGACCAACCCCCATCTTCTTCGTTGCCTTCTCGCCTGGCTCCTTCCTGAGGAACACCCCTTCTGCCATGGGCTGGGGGGCAGTGATGCATGTTAGCCCTCTCTCTGGGGCTCAGTTTCTGCATCTGTAAAATGGGAGCGTCTCAAAGCTTCTTCCTTCTAGTTATTCTCTGAGGGAGACCGGTCAGAAGATGTTTCCAAAAAGGAAACTGAGACGAGGGTGGGGTGGGGAAGGGGGTGGGGAGCTGCCCAGAGGCTGGGGTTCTGTGTGGAGGGGTGAGGGGGAGCGAACACAGTGCGGTTGGAGTTGGTGTGTCACCCAGGTGGGACGTGGGTGGCCAGGAGGAGCCAGGAACAGGGGCGGGGGCCCGGGTCCCTGATTGGCTGGATGATACTGACACCCTCTCTTGCCTCAGTTTACTCATCTGTAAAATAGGGCTGGGTGAGGCCCCGGGGGCAGGTCCCAACCCCAGGAAGGGAGTAGATGCCCAAGTCCCTCTGGGCCTGCCCCTCGACCTCAGTCACCAGGCGCCAGGCAGGGACGGGCATGAATAGGGGCACGGCCACCCTGGAGCTGAGGTGCTGCTGGCCAGGATGGCGGGTCTGTGGGCAGCTCGGGGCAGGCAGCTGGAGCGAATGAACACGGGTCAACGGGCTTGCCAGTCTGACTCCCAGTCCAGTACTCCTCCCACACACGCTGAGTCGTGCCAGGCTCCCAAGGATGTGTCCAGGGCTGGAGGTGGGTCAGGACGGTCCGGGAGTGCTGCCGTCAGAGGCGAGGCTGGGATGAAGCCAGGGACCCTGGCACCCCGCACCAGGAGGGGGCAGAGGGGCTTGGGGCCAGCAAGAGGCACCTGAGGGGTCCGCAGCCCCCTGGGGGCAAGCCCGTGCTTCTGTAGCATCCCCCAGGGAGCTGCGGGTCCGAGCCTAGGGAACAGGCCCATCAGAATCGGCAGGCACAGGCACCCCAGAGCTCCCCTAAAGCCCCACCGAGGTTCCTGGGTCAGTTTAAAGCGGGCAGTTCCGCCAGCAAACGGGAGAGAGACTATCCAGGCTGCAAACCGGATCCCCCCGCCCCCCGTCGCTCCTTAGCTGAGTCTGCCCTTACCGGGGCATCCTCCCTTCTTTGCCCCAGAGGGACCCCAACCTTCCCCTAGCACAGGGGATCAGCCCCGACCTCCAAGGGCCGCCAGAGACGCGCCATCAAACACGCGCATGTGGCCACACCAGGGCTGAGCCATGGGATCTGTGGCTCTTTGGGCTTGACTGCGGGGCCTCCAGAGAAGGGACAGGGGGTGTGGGGTGGACAGCCAAGCCTGCCCCCTCCTGTCCCCGCCGCTGCTACTGCTCAGGACCGGCTGTCTTGGTGGTCACCAGCTCGGTGGAGCCCAGCTCCGTGGCCGGCACGGGGACGCTGTGGGCAGGCGGTGCCACAGTGGCTGGGTCTCCTGTGGGTGGTGGCCAGGCGGGCTCTGAGGCCTTCGGGTCCCCGGGGGACAGGACGATGACAATGTCCGGGGTCTCTGGAGTGGGAGTGGGGGACCCAAGGTCAGGATTCAGAGGACCAGCGTCACCACCCCTCCCTACCCCTGTTCTGGAAGCTTCCCTGGGTGGGGAGGAGGTCAGGACAGGAAGTGCAGGGTGGACAGAGGGGAGTGGGAGCCAGGGGGGCGAGCCTGGGGCTGGTTCCCACGCAGGTGAGGCCCGCGCAGGCTGGCCACTGGCCTGGATGGGCCCTGTCCCCCAGCCCCGCCACCGCCGGCACCCTCAGGAGTCCCCCTCCCCGCCCCTGGCCCTGGGGGTCGCCCAGACCCGACTCACCCTCTGACTCCTCGTCCAGCGCTGCTGCGGGCGCCGCCGTCCCGCGCCGTCTCCGCAGCCAGGCCACCAGGGCCACCAGCACCAGGGCCAGCGCCAGGCCCAGGCCGGCCGGGGCGCCGAGCAGCAGCGCGGGCAGCCGCAGGGTCGCCACGGGCCCCGGCGACGCGGGCGCGGGGCTGCCCGTGCAGGCTGCGAGCCCGGGGGACAGCGAGGGCGCGCAGGGGGCGCCGGTCGGGGCTGGCCGGGAGGGGAGACGGGGGGCGGGGAGTCACGCGATGCTGGGGCCCCCCCCTGCCGCCCCCGGCATCCCCGGGGGGTCCCCCCTCCCGGCTTACCCGACCCGGTTTCCCGCGCGCCCAGCCTCCAGCAGGCCACGTAGTCGCGCACCAGCTCGTCGAAGCACGTGGGCTGCACGGACGCGGGGGGCACCGGCCCGGCCCGGCCCCGCGCGCCCCGGGCCCCGCGCCTCATGCCGCGCCGCCAGGTCGGGGTGCCCCGCTGCGCCCCGCGCGGCCCGGGGCGCTGGGAGGGACCACCCCGGCCCCGCCCTCCCGCCCGCAGGGGTGGGACCCCGGGCCGGGCGCTTCCTCTGCTCAGACGCCGCCGGGCACCGGCTGGGGGTGCCAACCCGCATTTGCCTCGCGCCCTGGAAAGCTCCTACCCCTGGAGGCAGCGCTGAATTCATCAGGGGGGGGACACGGGGGGCAGCCGAGATGCCTGGGGGCAGGGCTGGGGGGGGACTGGCCGGCGTCAGCCAAGGTCCCCGGGCCCAAACCAAGGCAGGGCGCACCTGGACCGGAGGCTGCGGTGCTGGGGTCAGGCCCGTGGGTGCAGGTGCCCACTGGGCTCTGGCCCAGTGACCTCAGAGCTGCCAGTCGGCTGGGACCCTCTGGTTGGGGGGGGGCAGCTCCATGTCCAGTAGGAGGGAAATGTAGACTTGCAGATGGACACAGACAGGCAGAGGGGGCACGAGGACAAACCCACACATGCCCCCCCCCACTGTTGCCTGCCAAGGATGCCAGGGGCTGCGCCAGTGTCCCGCACGTACACCACACCCTGACCGTGTCTCACACATACACACACACACACACACACACACACCACCACCACCACCACCACCACAAACAACCCTGATCCGGGTCAGACAGATACACACCCTGACCCAAGGACCATACACACAACCACACATACCCCCAATCAGTGTCCCGCACACACAACCACACCCCTGTCAAATGTCAGACACACACATACACCCCTGACCCGTGTCCCAGACACACACACCACACACCCCTGGCCCATGTCTCTCTGTCTCTCTCTTACACACACACACCTTACATCTGGCCCATGTCTGCCACACAGTGCCCATGGCCGCCATGCCACACCCTCTGCACTGAGCTGGGGTGCGGGAGTCTCCAGAGCTCCAGGGGGACCTTCGAGGCGAGCAAGGGGGAGAGCTGACTCCAGCTGTCCTGGGGCCCAGGGCAGGGGGAGCTGCAGCAGGCTGGTGGGGGCGAGTCCAGCCCTCTGTGGCCTCAGGGCGACCAGATGGGGCGTGAGGAGGTGGGCAGGGCAGAGCAGCAGCCAGCAGGCACCTAGGAGGAGAGGGCACTCGGAGGGGGACCCCGCGGGGCTGGGTGGCCAGCCCGGAGGCGGCCTGGCCCTCCGTCCCCCACCATGCGCCAGAGCAGCTCGGGGCAGGAAGGCGTAGGCGGCCGAGGAGGGCCTGGGCACGAGTGGGTGTGGTGACGGAAGGCTCGGGTGCCTGTGTGAGGGTCACCTGGGTGTGCCTGGGGCAGAGCAGCCCCTGAGGGTGGCCGGGTCACTGCTGTGAGCCACCTCTGCCGCCTGTCCTGCCGTGACACCCTGCTCCTTAACCGGGCGTGAGTCCAACCTTCAGGGGCATCTCCTCGGGCCTGCCCAGGGCAGGATCTCGGCAGGGGGCAGACAGCGGGAAGAGACACTGCAGGACCCCCCCCCCACCACGCCTTCCTGGGTCCCTGGGACGGGTTGGGGGAGGCCCAGGATCTTGGCTGGGATGAGGAAGCAGTTATTTTCAGGAGTTGAGACAGCACAGCAGGGAGGGCGTTTATCTGGAAAGTGGGTTTGATCCCTGAGGGCAGACCCAGGAGTGAGCCCTGAGCCTCGCTGGGTGGGCTGGCCCCCAAACAAAACAAAACAAATTTTTTTTCGGAGTTGTAAAACCACGTTGCCAAAGGGCCACAGCGGAAGTACAGTGGCTAGGGTGACATGTCTGTGGCAGAGCTGGGGCCAACCCTGCAGCCCTGAGCACTGATGGCTCACACCTCCCCCAATTCTGTGTTTTACTTTACTTATTTATTTTTTAATATGACAGTTTATTGGAAAGTAGAAGAGAAAGAACCCCTCTTTCAGTCTTTCAGCCAGGGAGGACCTTCGTATAGGACTGAGCATGGCTCACCTTGTTTTTTTTTCTTTTTGGGTCACACCCAGCGATGCTCAGGGGTTCCTCCTGGCTCATGCACTCAGGAATTACTCCTGGAGGTGCTCAGGGGACCCTATGGGATGCTGGAAATTGAACCCGGGTCGGCTGCATATGAGGCAAACGCCCTGCCCCCTGTGCTATTGCTCCAGCCCCTCTGTGTTTTACTTTTAAGGTCACACCTGGCGATGCTCAGGAGTTACTCCTGGTTCTGTGCTCAGGAATAAATCCTGGAGGTGCTCAGGGGGACCATACAGGATGCTGGGATCAAACTCATCTGGTGTGTGCGAGGCAAATGCCTTATTCAGAAAAGGAAAGGAAAGGAAAGGAGAAAGAAAGAGAAAAAAAGAAAGGAAGGAAGAGAGAAAGAAAGGAATAAATTACCAAATAAAAAAAAAAAGAAAACAAAATCTGTCTCGGGCCCGAGAATGTGGGGGATACTCTCAGCCTTGCTTGCAGGCACTCAGGTGACGTTCCTTGTGTGGAAGGGTTTGACCCCCGGCCTCCTGCATGCAAAACTGGCTTCAGCCCCCCACGGCTGTCCCCGCCACTGTTCCTCAGCAGAAAGCAGGGGACGAGGCCCTGGGAATTCCCTGCTGCGTCCCGGGTTCCGCAGGTGCGAGGCCTGGGCTGGATGCCCGGTACCAGGTGCCCCCCCCAACCCCCGCAGCCCTGCCAAGGATCCTCCCCCTCGCCCACTGGGCACATCACTGCCTCTGTAAGGTAGCGACCCCGGAGAGGAGAGGCCGCTGGGAAGCCCTTGGCTGTCTCGCTGCCTTCTGAGTCAGTCGCTTGACACCCTCGTTTGCATGGGCCCAGGGTCTCACCCACCAGGCGTGTCCGCTCCCACCTGCTGCGTGGGGGGGCAGCTCAGGTGACAGCGACCACACCAGCACGTGTGTGCAAAGCCCGAGGCGACCCCAGCAGGGGCCAGGGGGAGCGAAAGGAAGTGATTCACTGGGGGGCGGGGGTGTCTGTCAGGGTGAAGGTTCCCCCAGCCCCCTGCCAGGCTGACACAGGCCCCCCACGGACGCCCCTTCTCTCAGATGGGGAAGTGAGGCGAGGGGTGGGGAGATGACTGGCTCACTGGCGGCGAAGCATGGCCCGGGACAGATGGGGGGTAAGGAGGAGCCATGGGGCCCGCTGGGGGGGGGGGACAGTCCCCAGGGGCAGCCCCTAGGCGTGGGTGTGAAAGTACTCGGCTGCATGTCCTGACAATGTTTTCTCTGTCATTGTGAGTAATACCCGGACTCTCGAGAACTGGAACGGAAAGGAAGACCCCCAAGAAGCGTCGCCCTCGTGGGCACAGGGAGGATGAGGAGGATGAGGGGGCGGGAGCCCTGAGCCCAGCTAGGCAGGGGCTGCTGGGTCCAGGCCCAAGCTGCCCCCAATCCCCCCCTTGTCCCCCCGCATCTGCCACGTGCCCGTCGGCCCCACCACACACGCTCTGGCCCGCCATGGGGGCCCTGGGCCAGTGGCGGGGGGGGGGGGGCGTGAGGCTCCTCGAGGCCACCAAGCAGACCCCCAGGGGGAGGTGCAGGGCTGGCCAGTCCCCTTCCCAGCCTCCATCCGTGCCCAGGCCAGGCGGGCCCCAGGACAGCCCTGGTGAGAGTGAAGAGGCAGAGAAGGGCTGGGGGACAGCGGTCCCTAAGGCTGTCACAGAGGTGGCCATGGCCCCTCACCCCCTCCAGGACACCCCAGTTCTAGCTCCAGCCTCTGGGGGTGGGGTCAGACGCTGCCCCCCCCCCCCCAGAGCCCGTGGCCAGTGCAGTAGAACACCCAAGGCTGGGGCTCTGCTGGCCTGGCTGTGCAGGGGTGCTGCCCGGCAGATGAGGGCCCGAGAGCCCTTGGCTGGCCTCCTGGTGGGAAGGGCCCCAAGCCCAAGCCAGACCCTTCCCCACTGTCCCTTCTCCTCACACGCCCGCTGGGGGCTGGCGCAGTGGATGTGAGGACACGTGGCTGAGTCACAGGGGCAGGAAAAACCTGTGTGGGGCCACCCCCACGGACCCCTCGGCCTCGGGAACTCAGCTCTGCCCCCCTGAAGCCAACACACGAGACCCCCCACTGGGACTCGAGGCTGCAACCGGCCCCGCAGTCACCCCAGTGTTCACTCCGCAGATGTGGACTAGAGGAGGGGGGTTCCCCTACGCCCCGGAACACTCCTCAGCGCGAGGAGAGATGGACATGCCCCTTGCGGTGTAGACGGAGCTGGGAGGGCTGCCCGGGTGAGGCGTCAGGAGTCGGGCAGAGACAAGCGGCAGGTGTGGGCGGAGCAGGATGGGACCCACTGGGCCTCGTGTGGGTCTGGAACGAGCCCTGATGCTCAGACTCAAACCTTGGTGCTGTGGAGGGGGGAAGGGGGGGACAATGGCCAGGGCGGGGGAGGCCTTGTGAGGACACTTTTCTCTTGGGGACATTGAACCCAGGTGGAAGGGGACATTAGTCCCGCAGAGGGGGGCACTGGCCCTGTGGGGACAATGGTCTTGAGGGGATACTGTTTCTCTGGGGGACACTGGCCCCGGGAGGGAGTTTCTATGGGGACACTAGTCTCATGGTGGGGGGGGGAACTGGCCCCGTGGGGTGAGGGGGCAGCAGGAACTTTAAAGGCATCTGAAATGACGCCACCAAGGCCCCGCGGTTCAGCGGCTAACAAGAACAGAGTTGCAGCTTCCTGGCTTCTGCTTCAGCTAGCCCCAACTGGGGGGAACCCTGAGCCCCCCTGGGAGGTGACGGCCTGAGCTCAGCCCCCCAGCATGGTCTCGCTCCCCGCAGCCTGCTCAGCCCCAGCCTGCTTGGACGCGACACCCCTGGGACAGTGGGGGTCCCCAGCCACATTCCCCGGGGCCTCAGGGGAACAGCCTCGGGGGACCCCAGAGCTGACATCTGGAGGGGTCCCAGATCCTTGGTCAGAAATACTACGTCCCTTCTCTTGTTAAATGGCACCAGGAGGCAGAGAAAGGTGCCCGTGAGGTTGGGGAGAGAGCAATGAGCCCACACTGGTGGGGGGGGCATTGACATCCCCTCCCCGAGACCCCCGGAGGCCTCCTTCCCTCCCTCCCCTGCCCTTCACCCCCAGAGCTAACCCCGCAGGATGGATGTTGCTCTCCAGGAAACAGGCTGGGGTCCCCAGGGCCACCCCCCAGCTCAGGCTCAGCCAGGGGGTCCCCACCCTTCCACCCATCGGGGGAACAGGAACCCGGCTGGAGGGCGGGCGCCGGGCCAGTTGCTAGCTGGCTGTAGGCACCCCCTGATGCCAAGGCTCCAGCCCAGGCCAGGCCGGGTGGGGAGCAAGTCCATGCCAAGGGCCCCGTGAAGCAGGTGGCTGCTGAACTCGGGGGCAAGGGGCGCAGGGGCCCTCCTGAGTCAGCCCTGAGGTCCAAGGAGGGTGTGGCAAGGGTCTGAGGACCCCACGGGGCGCCCATGAAGCTCTGGAAGGGTCTGAGGGGAGGTGAGAGGCCAGGCCCAGAGGGGGTGACTGCCACCACCCACCCCCAGCTGGGCTGTGCCGGGTGGTCGTGATCCGGATCCGGCTTCTTACACACCTGCTGGGAGCTGGCGGCCGGCCCAGCTCGCTCTACCGGAAAGAACCAAGTGGAGACATAGTAAGATGGGGGACTGGGGGCCACTCAAGTATGCCCCGCTCACTTCACTGGATCGTCCAGAGGCGGCCACGCCAAGGGGAGCCCCTCCCTGCCCCCTGTACCCGCAGTCCTGAGTCAGTCCCTCTTGGCAAACCCCAGCGGTAGATGAGAACTGGGACTTCCCCGACTTTTAGGTCCGAGGGAAAGGACCGATTTTCCAGATGGAGACACGAGGCCGTGGTGGGGGGGGCTGGGACCCCCCCAGGGGCGGCTGCCAGGCACCTCACAGCTCGTCCAGGGCGGGGCTCTCAGGCCGCCGCAGCAGGGTCAGCAGGTCCAGCGCTGACACGCCGGGCACGTGGCCGGCACAGATGAGTAGTAGGCGGACCAGACGCTGGGCCAGTGCATCTCGGAGGGCTTCCGTCTGTGGGGGGAGAACGGAGGGTCGCGGGGGGCCCTGCACCAGGCAGACACGGTCCCTCGGGTTCCTGCCCCAGTAGCCGAGACTGAGAGATCGGGGGTGACGGGGCAGAGGCCATAGAACAGCCACCAAGGTCCCAGGGCACAGCTCGATAGCAAAGCGTCCCCCCCTCGCGTCTGCAGCTGTGAGGCTCTGGGCTTGACCCCTGGCACCATCCACACGTGCTGAGCTCGTCCCAGGGTCTGCTCGCGGGGACCCGCTGCCTGCACCCCAAACCAGCGCAAGCCACATCTCGGCTCCAGCTGTGGAACAGCAGAGGAAACGTGTCCCTCGGGCGGGGCTGGCCCACGGGTGCTGGGATCGGGTCCGGCTCACGGCAGGGGGCGGCGCCCCCATTGCCCAGGCTCTGCCCCTCACTATCCCCGGGGCTGGGTCTGGCCTCCCTGGTCATCCCATCTCCAGCTCAGCACTCAGCAGTCAGGGCGAGTCTCACAGCCACTGCCGTGCTGCTTCTTCAGGAACAGCCCGACTCCTGCCACAGAGGCCTCAGCCGCAAAGGCAGCCCCAGTGAGCCCGCTGCCCAGTGCCCTCCCCAGCCACCAGCCCCTGGTTCTCACAGGACCACTTGGGGTAGGCCCGGGCCAGAGGCCTGCACCCAGGAGCTGGTGTGGGCCGCCACCTCATGGCCACGTGAGGAACTGCACCAGCCATCACAAAATAAAATACATGTACTCAGACACGTATTTACACATATAAACATAAAGATACACATGCACACACATACACATATGTTTACACATAAACACACACAAACATGCACACAAATACGTAAACACACACAAAAACATGCATACATGCACACCCATACACTCATATACACATAAGTACACACAAACACATGCACACACATACACATATATTTACACATAAACACACACAGAGACACACACGCACACACTATACATATATACATAAACACACACGAACACACGCACACATACACACATATTTACACATAAACAGAGACACACATGCATACAAATACATATACACAAACACACGCGCACACACACATACACATAACCATACACATATATACATACACACACTCACAAACACACACTTACACTTACATATTAACACACACAAACGCATGCACACACATGCACACACACATATAGACACTGTCCTCCCGTTGTTCATCAAGTTGCTTGAGCGGGCACCAGTTACGTCTCCATCGTGAGACTTGTTGTTACTGTGTTTGGCATATCGAATACGTCACGAGGAGCTTGCCAGGCTCTGCTGTGCGGGCAAGATACTCTCGGTAGCACATTAAACACACATATACACATACATATACACACGCACACACGTACACACATGCGCGCGCACACACACACACACAAGACACACACACACACACACCCTGCTTACTGGATGGCTGGTGACTCCAGGCATCAGGTCTGGGGGGGCCAGCCCAGGGACAGCATGTTAGACCCCAAGTGTGAAGTCAGGGCGGTCCTGGCGGCTGGGCATGAGAACGCCTGGGGCCCGGAAAGGGAAGGGAAAGCCTCCCTGGCCGGGGTGTGACTTAGCGTCCCTTCAACCTGGGGCCAGGTCCCACAGCTGCAGGACACCCCAGAGGTGGCGCCGCCCAGGGTGCAGCCCAGCAGGCCAGGGGCACGGAGATGCCCTGGCGAGTGGCAGACCAGGGGCCGCCTCGCCTCATCCCCATCCCTCAGTGACACACACCCAAGGACCTACGAGGAAGACTCAGGGGTGGGCAGAAGGAATGTGAAGACCCCTTTTGCCCCTCAGGAAAAAAAAGGCAGAGTGACCAGTGCCGGCGCTGGACCTGGGCAGACACCGGGATCCAGACGCCGCCGCTGGCCCCCCAACCCCCCCTCCCCCCCGCCGTGCGTGGCACCCGCCTCACCTCCATGTCACAGAAGAGCAGGGGGCTCTGGTAGGTGCGAGCCAGCCTCTCCACCGTGCTCCGGTGCGTGCTGCAGCGGTCCTCCTGGCTGGCTGCAAAGGGGCGTGCCAGTGTCCACCACTGCGCTGGCCACACCCCTGGGGCTGTCTTTTTTTTCCTTTTTGGATTTTGGGTCACACCTGGTGATGCTCAGGAGTCACTCCTGGCTCTGTGCTCAGGAGTTACTCCTGGCAGTGCTCAGGGGACCATAAGGGACGCAGGGCATTGAATCTCGGTCAGCCCCAGGCAAGGCAAACACCCTCCCTGCTGGACTAGAGCTCTGGCCCCTGGGGACTTGTCTTCTTGTCAGTGGGGCGATGATCCCTTCATCCCATTTTTCAGGGTGGGGCATGGGAGGGTGACACAGAATAGGGACCCTCATGGAGAGGAGAAGGGGGGCCCAGACACACCCCAGTCCCAGGGGGCTCGCCAGGCAGGTGAAGGAAAGGAAAAGGCTTTGGGGGAGCTGAGTCCAGACCCATCCGGGCTCTGGATTCAGCAGGACGCTTGTCACAGGCCCTGGGCAGGTCACTAGGCGATGACCAGCTGAGGGCCGCATCTACGCATCTACTTGAGTGTAAAACAGGTAACACCACTGGCGCCTCAGAGGCTTGACCCAGTGAAGGCTGAGGCCAGGGAAACTCAGAGCTGCAGCGCAGACTCTGCACACAAACCCGATTCCACCCCGGGGTAGCTCTTGAGCACTGCAGGATTTGCTCCTCCCCCCACCCAAAAAAGGACGGAAACAAAGTGCTCAGGGCACTGTCCGGCTCGAGGGGAGCTGGACGGGGTCAGGCACTGGTCGCGCTTGATGGAGCCTCAGCCCACGAGACCCGGGACTGGGCGCCACAGCTGAGGGGCTGGCAGCCCCCCAAATGCAAGGCGCCTTTCTTGGGGTCCACACCAGACTCCGAGGCTGCCAGGGGACCACCAGGCAGGTCTCGTCAATGATCTCAGGAGAGCGGGTCTCTTCAGATTTCTTCCGGAAGGGGCAATCCCAGTGCCCCGGGCCCGCGGGCGGAGGGCACTTACCACCGGTGACCAGGAAGAGAACCTTCCCCAGGAAGAAGGTGGCGTCCACGTGCTGCAGGGAACGCTCTACTTTGTGCAGGCTGGCGGCAGGCCGAGAAGAGAAGCCAGAGCGTGAGCGGATGCGGGGACAGCAGCGGCCCCTCCTCACGCCAGATCAGGGCACAGGAAACTGCCCAGGAGTCTTTTGTGTTTGTTGCTGTGGTTGTTGCTGTTTTGCGTCTCACCTGCAGTGTTCGGGGCTTATTCCCAGCCCTGCGCTCAGGGGATCGTCTGGGGTGCCAGGGACTGAACCCGGGTTGGCAGCGTGCAAAGCGAATGCCGTACCCACTGTACTATCTCTCCGGCCCCCAACCAAAGCCTTCCTTTCCCAGGCGGGCACCAGAAGCAGCTGTGTCCTCCCGCAAGAGGGCAGGAACCCAGACCAAGCCTCAGAGGAGAGCACAAAGCCCCTCAGCGATGCCCCTGCAGCCTCCTCACAGCTCCCCTGCCCACCCTGGGGGAGGTCACAGCCCAGCCCACCCCAGCCAGGTCCCCCGGAGCCCCACAGCTGCCCAGCCCCCTGCTCTCACCTGAACTTGTTGTGAAGGTTGATCAAAAACGCGATCAGGTCAATCCGAGGCCGGTTCACATCGGAGGGCAGCGGGAGAGAGTTTGCCAAGTGGCTGAAAGGGCAGAAAAACGGCAGGAATAAAGACAAGGTGTGCCCACCCCTGGGAGCACCTCACACAGGGCAGAGGCCAGTGGTCGGCTGATGGGGTGCAAGAACTGCAGGGCGCCCCTGTTCTCCAAGTACTCCTGACTCTTTCCTCCGGGCAGCAGGGAGCTGGGGATCCGGATGTCCCAGGGCTGGCCAGCGAGAGGGACTGGCTGGTGAATGGGGTCAGCCTCACGCCTGCTGGGCATGCGCTCTTCCCCTCGAGCTCATCTCCCCCGTCCATGTGGGGGCTATTATAAAGCCCTCTCTCTCGGGGCTGGAGTGATAGCACAGCAGGGAGGGCGTTTGCCTTGCACGTGGCCGACCCGGGTTCGATTCCCAGCATCCCATAGGGTCCCCTGAGCACCGCCAGGAGTAATTCCTGAGTACAGAGCCAGGAGGAACCCCTGAGCATCGCCGGGTGTGACCCAAAAAGCAATAAATAAATAAACAAATAAATTTAAAAAAATAATAAAAAGTCCACTCTCAGAGCATCACCAACGATCAGAAGTCAGAGGACTGGTCCTGAGGCGGTTGATTCTGGGGTCCTTGGAGGTGGCAGGGCAGGGATGAGCCAAGAGCCCAGTGAACATGAGACTTTCTCCTCGAGCCAAGCACTAGGGGGATGACGACCGCGGCCGGGAGGGATGGGGGTGGGGGGTGACACCAAAGATGGGGCGCTGGCCAGTGAGAATGCAAAGAGGGTCTGAGCTGAGCCCCAAGAGCTGCGGGGTTTCGGGGGATGATTCCAAGGGGCAGGACCCACGTCGGCGCCTCGGGCACCGAGGAGTGAGTGATGAGGAGCCCGCGTCCCCGCCACTCACATCTTCAGCTCGGAGGCGCAGACCTGCCGGAGCATCGCGTCGGCCAGCTGCTGCAGAAGCGCATCCTCGGTGCTCACCAGCTGCTCGGACAGAAAGCGGGCGGCTGGGGACCCCGGCGGCCCCCCGCCAGGCACGGGCCGCGCGCTCCAGGCTCGGGTCCCCGTTCGCACAAGACCTCCTCCCCGCCCCCAGTCCCTCTCCAGGGCAGCCTGCGCTTTCTGGGCTGCGGGGGTCCCTGCAGCCGAGGCCCCCCGAAACCCATCAGAGCGCCGAACTCAGCCGGCCCGCGCGCCGTTTCGGGCCCAGCCAATCAGGAAGAGCCGGCCGCGCAGCTATTGGTGGGGGCGTCCGTCCGTCTCGCAAGGCGGCTGCACCGATTGGTTCAGAGCGCGGCCCTCCCGCCCACCCACAACCCACCCTGCCGGAAGAGCGAGCCCCGGAGCCCCTCGGAGAGGGCGGCGGCCGGCGGCGGGGCCGCAGGAGAGGTCAGGCGGCCGCGGAAACGGGGTGCTGCCCCTACCAAGATGGTGGCCGTGTTCAGGGTGGGCAGCTTGTCCAGCGGCCGCAGCACCGACATCGCAGTCGCGGGCCAGACCGTTTCTTCGGGGGTGCGCGCCGGACTTTCAAAAGCCCCTGAGCCCCGCCCCGAAGCGCACGTGACCCTAGGGGCGGGGCTTATCGGGAGGGGCGGGGCCATTAAAGGAACCGCAGCTCCTTTTTCAGAAGGGGGCGTGGCCGCGCGGGCCTTAGGTGCTCAGTGGGACCATCCTTTTAGGGCACAGCTTGGGAGAGAGAAGGCGTCAGGGGATTCAGTGTGTATTTTTGTTGGTTTATGCTCACTCGCTCTCCTGTGGCTTCCTCCTTCCAAACCTTACCTCCCACGTCTCCACCTTGGTTAATTGGGTGGGGACCAAGGCTTGTGGTGATGGAGACTGCGCCCTCAGGCCTTGGCACAGGCCAGGCTCCTGCTCCAGCCCCTGAGCCACGTCCCCACCCCTCTCCCAGCTTGATTCCACCTTTGCGGTTGTTCCTGTAAAGCCCTGGGAGCAGGCAGGGGAGATGGCGCTGAGGATGGAGCACTTGCTTTGCACCTGGGAGCACGGAGATTGAGCCCTGAGCCCCACATCATGGGGCCTCCCCTCTTAGAAAGAAATGCTCAGGTTTCTTTCTTTCTTTCCTTCTTCTTTCTTTCTTTCTTTCTTTCATTTATTTATTTGCTTTTTGGGTCACACCCAGCGATGCTCAGGGGTTACTCCTGGCTCTGCACTCAGAAATTACTCCTGGCGATGCTCGGGGACCATATATGAGTCGCTGGGAATATCGAACCCGGGTCAGCCGCGTGCAAGGCAAATGCCCTATCCGCTGTGCTACCTGAGCCCCAAGCTCAGGTTTTCTTTTTTATATCCCACACCCAATCTCAAAGCAAGTCTGTGGGTTCTGTAGTTTCACTAAGGTGGTCCAAGGAGCAACAGGGCTTTCTTGACTGTCGGGAAAACAGAACAACCCAGGAACAGTCCCAGACAGTCGCCAAACAGACAGAAACAGTAAGCTCATTTGTTTTGGGGGCAAAATCTCAGATGTTGTGCAGTTTTGGACAAAATGGGAAGACGAGACTGTAGAGAAAATAGAAGCTGAAAGGGGAGCCTGGCTGTTGGGGGGCTCCACTTCATTTGGGACGGCTAAGGAAGGGCCCACTGACAAGGTCCCTGTTCGGGTCCGAGGTTGATAATCTCCCCTCTCCGAACCACACAAAGAGTCCAGCCAGTAATGCAAAACACAAGCGGAGTTTATTCAAGCCAGCTAGCTGGGGGTCAAGCTCTCAGGCACGCAGGCCAGAGCAAGACCCCGAGCAAGGGAGATGCTTCAATTTTTATAGTCAGTGTGTGCGGGCTGGAGCGATAGCACAGCGGTAGGGCGTTTGCCTTGCACACAGCCAGCCCGGCTGAGCCGGGTTCGATTCCTCCACCCCTCTCGGAGAGCCCAGCAAGCTACCAAGAGTACCTCACCTGCACGGCAAAGCCTGGCAAGCTACCCGTGACATATTCGATATGCCAAACACAGTAACAAGTCTCAAAATGGAGACGTTACTGGGCCCGCTCGAGGAAATCGGTGAACAACAGGAGGACAGTGTGTGTCATAGCCCATGCTTACAGACAGGTCATCTTATCCTGGTAATTTCCCTGCGGTTGTTCCCTCCTCCCTTGCTCTCATCAGGGTGGTTTCTGGGAACCAGGGCCGAGCTATCAGCCCAGGGGGAAGAAGCAGAATTCTGAGAACCAAGGCTGAGCTGTCAGCCCAGATGTCCTCCTTTTGCGGATGGCTGGGGGCAGGGGAGAGAGCACAACCCTGAGAAAGCCAAACTGTTGAGAACCTCAGTCCATCCAGAAAAAGAACGTGTGGGACAGGGAAATGCAACAAGAGGCATGAGCAGGGACTTCAGGAATGGAGTTCATCACGGAGCCTGTCAGATCCCGCTCCGTACCCAAAAGTCCCCTTGGAGCAGAAACCAGAACGTAGCCGAGAGTGAGCCACGTGACTGCGGGAAGCACATTCCCATCCGAGGGAACCTCCACTGAAGGCAGGACTTAGAATTTCTAGGGAACTGGAGGGGAGAGAGGGAATAGAGACCCCCCCAGGGCCAGAATGTGGAGCTCCGAGACCCCAGAGCTTGCAGCGAACGAGGGGTGGGCTTGGATCTGGACGCGAACAGAAGCCGGGTGGGGGTAGCCCTGGGAGAGGGGCCCAGCTTGGTGGTGGCGGTCGGGATGGGGAGATGTCAATTCTGAATATAAACTGGTGGGGATATGGGAGCTCAGGACTCACTCCCTGCTCATCCTCGGCAGGGACTCGTGGCATTTCCGGGACAGACCTGGCGCCCCCTCCCATGACCATGGAGGAGTCGGGACGTTCATGGTCCGACACGGAGACCCTGATCCATGCGTGGGAGCAGACGGTGAGAACCCGGAGTCTTCCTGTGCCCGCTGGACCCAGACACTGCATGTCCTGCTTTGTAAATGCTTCCCAGGTGCTGGCCTGGTGGGGCTTAGGTTTCTTACTACCTGGGGTGTGGAGGGGCCCCTAAAAGTCAGTGGAGACAAAGTCCAGCAGGCCTGGGGATGGACCAAGAGGGGCAGGTAGGAAGAAGATATTCTGGGGGCCACAGCAGCCTCCCCAAGAAGGGGGAGGTCTGAGCAGATATTTGGAAGGTGAGGCCATAGGAGGGCCCAGTGGGAATTGCCAGGGGGCACACGAACACAGGACACGAGTAAAGGCTACACAAGAGGGACCAGAGCGAGAGTTACAGGGCGTTTGCTTTGCACAGGGCCGACCCGGGTTCAATCCCCAGCATCCCATATGGTCCCCGTGCACCGCCAGGAGTAATTCCTGAGTGCAGAGCCGGGAGTAACCCCTGAGCATCACCAGGTGTGACCAAAAAAAGATTTAAAAAAATAAAATAAAAAGGCTGCCCAAGAGCAGACCGGGCGGGGGCAGAGGATGGTGCCCACAGGACCCCCAGGACCCCCGGTGAGGCCACACAACACCACGCTGGGCGGGCGGCCGAGCTGAGGCCTGGTATTGGGGGGAGTCCCTGCCAATTACGGGAGTGAGGCCTGTACAGGCCAGCTGGCTTCACCACTTTCTGGCTTCGTGACCTTGGAGGGTAAAACTCCATAAGGCCCTGAAATCAGCATCCGGTGCTAGGATGCAGGTGCTGCCCCGGGCTGATGGGTGCAGACCATGTCTCTGTCTTTTTTTTTTCTTTTTGGGTCACACCTGGTGATACACAGGGGTTCCTCCTGGCTCTGGACTCAAGAGTTACTCCTGGCGGTGCTCAGGGGACCATACGGGATGCTGGGAATCAAACCCAGGTTGGCTGCGTGCAAGGCAAATGCCCTCCCCGCTGTGCTATCACTCCAGCCCCCCTCAGTCTCTGTCTTGTTCCTTTCCTCAAACAACCCTCTGTCCCCTTTGGTTCCCCCGGTCACTGCCTCTGTCCACACCTACTTGCCTGGGACTGTAAGCTCTCGCTACCCTCCAAAGGCAAATGCGCCACCCCTCAGCCGCACCCCTGCCAAGCGTCCTCCAGGCCCCCCTCCCCGAATTTGCACCCTCGCCGTCATCTCTGTACCACACGGATCTAGAATGAAGGCTGGTTGCCATGGCAACGGAGGATAAAGCCCTGGCTCTGCCAGTCCTTCTGATTGGCTGAGCCAGGTTCCACCTCCTGCCATCCTGGGAGTGGGCCCCCCCCCCCCCAAGCCAGGGTCTCCGATGGGCAGGGAGAGGTTCCAGGGTGTGGAGCCGGGCCCACGACAGTCCCCTCCCGGCCTGGCCAGAGCCCTTCTCTCCCGGGGGGGCTTGGCCTCCCCCTCCTCCCTTCGCCTCCAGCACCCAGGGCGGCTGCGGACGGCAGAGACGCTAGGGGCGGCTGCGACGACTGGATCCACCGGCCAGCGCTGAGCTGCCCGGGCCCGGGCACTGTGCTCAGCTCAGAAGCAGCACACCAGGCATCTGCAGGGCTCCAGGTAGGTCTGCGGGCCGGGGGATGGCGGGCAGGGGTGCAGGGGCACCCGGTGGCTGGGGCCTGGGAGGCAGCAGAGGGGCTCGGCGGCCTGGAACAGGACTGGAACATTTCCCTGAGGCCCCAGGCCCCCTCCCAACCTGCCCCATCATGCTTCTGTTCGCTGGGAGCCCTGAAGCCCAGAGAGGGTGCGGTGTAGCCCAAGGTCACACAGGAGGACGGTGTTTGGCTTCAGCCAGGCCAAGGGCCTGACAAGCCTGGACATGTTGCGTGGTCTCGAGCTGGCTTGGGGAGCCTGGCGCTTTGCTCAGGACAGGATTGATTGGGGTCCCTGAACCCCAAAAAGCACAGGCACACAGCAGGGCCGGGTCCCAAGTGCTGGCTCTTGTGTCCGAAATACAGAAACAGGAATCTCGGCGGGAACACGGTTCATCCAGGCCGATCTAGGCTGGCGTCCTGCGTGGGGTGAGGGGAGTCCGTCTCCTCTGTCCCCCCCCAATCCAGAGCTCTCTGTAACTTGCCAGAAAGGCAGAGACTAGGGGACCCCCAGCCCTGAGTCCAGACCAAGGTCCTCTCTTCCCATCACCAACCCCGGATGGGGGCCCCGGAGACAGTGGGGGTTCAGACCAGGTGTGGGAGGGCCGGAGGGACACAGGACAGGAAGTGGCATCTCCCCCTCCCCTGGGGTCCCAGCCATCTGCAAGACCCACCTGTGCGGTGGGGGCAGAGGGAGCTGGGGCCCGGGGACATACCAGGGAAGCCTCCGGTGCCCCGAGTCAGCCCCTTCCCCCTCCCCAAAATGACCGCAGCCTCTGGTGACTGGACTGTTTCCCGGGATTGTCCTGACAGTGGCCATCAAGCCCCCGAGGCCACTTGGGGACCTTCTCCCAAACCTCCTTTTCCTCCCTTATGAAACGTGGCCATTGACTTAAGGCCAGCGAAGACGTTCTCACGGTCTCAGCCAGAAAAATTGGAGGTCCACACTTCCCCGCCTACAGGTCAGGTGGCCCCTGTTCCCACTCAGGTCTCTCCCTCAGAATAGCCAGGAGGCCCAGAGAGGTCAGGCCACTTTCCCGAGGACACACAGGCTGAGCATGAGTTCTCCAGAAGCTCCTTCTTCTTCCTCGGGGGGTTGGAGCAGAGGGGCTCCCTCTGGGTCTGCCGAGGAGCCGGGACGGAGGGGGGGTGTCTCGGTTAGGACCCCCCCACCTCCTGGGCCTCAGTGTTCCTGTAAAGGGATGTTTCGTGAACCGGGAGGTGGGGGGTGGTCCTGCACCCCTCGGGCAGGTGGGAGGGACAGGGCCCCTGCGTGACTCCCAGCTCCGTCCCCCCAGCCCAGGCCGCTGTCACGATGCCACACTTCCTGGACTGGTTCGTGCCCCTCTACCTGGTCATCTCCGTCCTCATCCTGGTGGGCTTCGGCGCCTGCATCTACTACTTCGAGCCCGGCCTGCAGGAGGCGCACAAGTGGCGCATGCAGCGCCCCCTGGTGGACCGAGACCTCCGCAAGACGCTCATGGTCCGGGACAACCTGGCCTTTGGGGGTGCCGAGGCCTGAGCGGACCCCCTCCATGCCCAGCCAGCCTGGCCGTCCAGAGGAAAGAGACTCGGGCTCCCGCACGCCGCCCCTCTGCGTCCTGGGCGGCCCCCAGCTGAAGTCCCCGGGTGCCACCGAAGCTGGAAGCAAATTCGGGGTCCCTGGGTGCCTGGAAGGATCGCTTTCTGCCTCAAGCCTGCTGCGCACCCCATGCCAGTCCTCCCCAGCTCTGGGGATGCTCCTCACTGGCCCCAGTGCCTTTGAACCGCCTGCATTCGCTCCCTCACCTTGCCTCAGCCTGTCCTGAGCCTCCAGGCTTCCGGGATATGCTGGACCACAGACACACACACACACACACACACACACACACACACACGCACCCACGCACGCACACACGCACATGCACACACATGCACACACGCACATGCACACACGTGCACACACACACACACCACAAGCTCTCCTTGCAGCCTGGGCCCAGGAAAGGTTCACACAGAGCTCATGTCAGTGTGACCCGGCCCATCCCGCCCTCTGGGACTGGCTGAGTGCCAAGGGGCCCACCCACGTAGGGGGAGGGGAGTGTGGGTGAGAAAGAGGAGGGGGATGGAGGGCCCCCCCGACAGGGTTGGGGAGCTCTGCGGGCAGCGTGGGGGGCTGCCTGCCGTTGTCCCCTCCAGGCGTGTCCACCCTATGTCCCCGGCCCCCCGACTGGGGAGGCCATGCTGCCTGCCTGCTTCCCACTGAGTTGGCTGCCGTAATAAAGCTTGCCCTGGTCTCTCCCGCTGCTGGTCTCTGCCCTCCCTGTCCAGCTCTGTCCTCTCACTGGCTCCTCTCAGGTGCCACAGACCCGTGGCCCGTGGCTCTGTGGGGGGAGTGTGGGACAGAGGCAAGTAAGTCTTATGTGGGACAGCAGGAGGTACTTTTCTTTCACTTGGGGGGTCCACATCTGGTGGTACTCCATGCTCAGTGCTCAGGGTCCTGGCTGTGACTGGGGGGGCCATGTGGTCACAGGAGAGGAGACAGACCCCCGATGTGAAGCCTGTGCTCTAGCCTCGTCAGCCTGCTCCCCCGCCCACGGGGGCACCTGAAGCAACCGTCTTTGTTGGGGGGCAGCCCACCTCGCCCCCAATTTGTGTCTTTTCAGAACAGCGCGTCTTTGGGGTGGGAATAACTACTATCGACAGCTTCCCCCCCCACCCCAGGAACAAGCCAAATGGACAGACAGATGAATGGAGAGACAGACGGATGGGTGAGGGGCCAAGGGGCCTAGCTCAGCTCAGCAGGTCAGGGGGAACTCAGGCTGCATCTAGCCGAAAGCCAGGTCTGCTGTGATCAACATGGCATACATTTTTTTGGGGGGGTGTCGCAGACTGCAAATGGATTGCTCACAGCTCTAAGTCAGGCCGTCTCCAAAACTCCTCCAAATGCAGCCTCTGGCCGAGCTGGGCAGCTGTGCACGAGACCTCATGGCTATGGGGTCCAGGCTTCCTCTTAAGAGCCCCCCTGTCCTGGGAAGCAGCAGGAACCGACTCCCCAGGGCCTTCTCCCGGCCTTCTCCCAGGCCTGCGACATCAGTGCTGACCCATGCCTGGTCTTTGTGGACGGATCCATGTTTTTCAAGCTGAAGGAGCCACAGTCCTGCTGGGCAGCTCGGAGCCAAGGCCGCCGAGCCCTGCTGGGCTCCAGGACTGCCTCAGTCTCCCCCGCCGCCACAGGGCAGGGGACTTGAACCTGTTTACTCCTGTGGGGGGACAGAAGGGGTCGACGGGGTCTTCGTGAAAGACATTTTCTGGTTTTAAATATCAAAGTGGGTTGGAGCCATAGCACAGTGGGTTGGGCACTTGCCTTGCACACAGACAACCCGGGTTCAACCCCTGGCATCCCATATGGTCTCCTGAGCACCGCCAGGAGTGAGCCCTGAGCACCGCAGGGTGTGGTCCAAAAGCCTTAGATAAATATATCTTTTTAAAAGTCCCCACAGGATAGGGCTAGAGTGATAGCACAGTGGGTAGGGTGTTTACGTTGCACACAGCCAACCCGGGTTCGATTCCCAGCATCCCACAGGGTCCCCCAAGCACCACCAGGAGTCATTCCTGAGTGCAGAGCCAGGAGGAACCCCTGAGCATTGCCGGGTGTGATCCAAAAAAAGCCAAAAAAAGATTTTTTTTAAAAAGTCCCCACAGTAACGTTAAGATTTGGCCTACATGGCAGAGCTTGGGAAGAGGCCAGCGGTCATCGAGAGAGGTTTGCCCTCCGCCAGCGGGCTCTGCTGGGAGCAAGCTCAGGGATCACTCCTGGCAGTCCCGGGGACCATGTGGGATGCCAGTATTGAGCCTGGGTCAGCTGTGTATAAGGCAAGAGCCTGGCCTGCCGCCGTCTCTCAAGGCCCCAACGTGGTTTTCCTCTACAGGGAAGCAGAGCCGGCAAAGTCAACTCTGTCCTGGGGGGCCAGGGAGGCCCAACCCGGGGGTCAGTCAGGGCCTAGGTTGTGCCGAGATGCGCTGTACTTTTTTTTTTTCTTTTTGGGTCACACCCGGCGATCAGGGGTTACTCCTGGCTCTACACTCAGGAATTACTCCTGGCGGTGCTCAGGGGACCATATGGGATGCTGGGAATCGAACCCGGGTCGGTGTGTAAAGCAAACACCCTACCCGCTGTGCTATTGCTTCAGCCCTGATGCGCTGTCCTATTACTAAGCATAATCCCTGTCCCCAAGAACTCAGTGCTTGTGGGAAGCCCTGAGGGATAGCCTTATACTTTGAAGCACAGACTGGAAGTTAGTGGTGGGTAGGAGACTGAACAGCCCACGAGTGATTTCTCAAGTGAAGCTTTGGTCCAGGGAGAGAACCTGATTGAACTTCCAGGGACCACCTCCTCCAGGAAGCCTCTCCTGCCGTCTCTCACCACCTTCCCCCACCCCCACCCCACCCGCAGCTTTTTCCCTCAGAGCCCTAATTTTGTGTTGTGATTTTATTCACGTGTTGTGGCCTCTTCCGTCAGCCTGCCTGGCACTGGGCAGGCGTCAGTGAAAGCCCGGCGTGCTGGTTGCCTGGCAGCGGTCTCTGTGTAACTGTTGCCAAGTCTTCCCCGGTGATGCCAGCGGAGCTCAGGCGTCCTGGGTGCTGGCTATTGTGTGGGTTTCTGCAGCGTCCTGGGAACTTGCCTCTGGCCCTGCTGGGAGCTGGGCCCCAGCAGGATGGTGGCAGGAATGTGCCGGAATGAAGGGCTGCAATGTGGGGACGGTGGCCTGGGGGCGGCACAAACCCCTCATTGTTCGCGCCCTTCTCTGTGCTCTGCGCTCAGGACCAGGGGCTGGGGGTGGGGCTCAGAGGGAGGAGGGAGAGAAGAGGTCCCAGGCTGGCTGAGGCCTCCATGGCTCTGGGCCCTGGCCTAAGCTTGTACCCCTTGGGATCTGTGGCCGCAAAACTGCCCAAGCACACGTCCTGGGTGACAGGGAGGAGAGAAGAAGAAAATCTGAGTTACTGGGTGAAGCGAGGGAGGTTCTGGGGTGACTGGAACGGCTCCGGTGCTTTGTACAACCGGCCGGGGGAGGCGTCAGCGCTGGTCCCGAGTGCATCCAGGGCTTCCACCCTCACCTGGCAGGGTGACGCCTGCCCCCTTGAAGTGGGGGGAGCCACATCCACGCTTCTTTTTCTTTTTGCTTTTTGGGTCACACCTGGCGATGCTCAGGGGTTCCTCCTGGCTCTGCACTCAGGAGTCACTCCTGGTGGTGCTCCGGGGACCCTATGGGATGCTGGGAATCGAACCCGGGTCGGCCGCGTGCAAGGCAAACGCCCTCCCCGCTGTGCTATCGCTCCAGCCCACATCCACACTTCTTGCCGCCCACCTAAGAACATACCGCGATGCTGGCTTGTGATGCTGGAGTTGATGTCGCGCGTCTGCGGGGGCCACCACCCGGATGCCTGTTTGCGGGAAAGGCCTGGTCCACGGAGGTCACGTCTGTGCTGGCAAGAGGAGGGAAGAGGACCATGCGCAGGCTGGGCTCAGCCACTCTGGGCCACTAGAGGGCAGCAGCGTCCAAGCGCCTCAACGTGGCCAAGAGCCCGCCTTGGACCCGGAGCAGAGACGCTTATTTCAGGCCACACCTGGCTGTGGCAGTGAGACTCAGTGCCACAGAGACAGGCGTTCCTTGCTCGGAAAGTCCACCGAGGCCCAGCAGGGCAAGTGATGTGACGGGGTATTGCACATTGCCAACTGGGACCCTTCGCTCACAGTGGGAAGATAATGGAATCAGGGTGGGGGTGGGGGGGCTGGTTCCCCACCTCCCCGGCCAGTGTGTGCAGGCAGAACTCTGCCACCAGGCCCTAGACAGCAATCCTTCCTCAAGTGGGGCTGCTCCTGAGACCTCGAGTAAGAGAGAGGGGAGAGGGGCTGGAGTGACAGCACAGTAGAGAGGGCATTTGCCTTGCACGCAGCCAACCTGGGTTCAATCCCTGGCATCCCATATGGCCCCCGAGCACTGCCAGGAGTGATTCCTGAGTGCAGAGCCAGGAGGAACCTCTGAGCGTTGCCGGCTGTGACCCAAAAAGAAAAAAAAAGTGAGACAATGGGGAGAGCAGCCCAGTCAGTTCCCGCCCCCGATAACCAGGGTGCAGCCAGGTTGATGCCCTCAGCTGGGAGCAGGGAGAATGGGTAAGACCGAAGTTTCTGGACCGGGGCAATATATGGCATAGCAGGGAGGGCGCTGGCCTTGCACACAGTCCAACCCAGGTTGGAGTCAGGAGGGAGACCCGAGCAGAGCACTGCTGGGTCTGTCCCCAAAAACACCACGACAATGAAAACCAAGTCCTCTCAGAATCGCGCTACCTAGTGTGAGAGCCACAAATTAAAGCCCAATCAGACGTTCAGCAGCTCACTAACGCCGCCAGCCTGGAAGTGCTCGTCCGCGGCCCGAGGCTCGGGTGGCTGGAGGCTGCTGGGCTGGCTGGCACGGAGACATCTCCACTGTCCAGGGGCTTCCCTCCAGGGGCTGGCTCGGCTCCAGACACGCTCAGCACCGCCCCCGTGGGATAGTGAGCAGAGCCGGGCCTCCGG